ACTCACAGCTACCCATTCTGCTGGAGGTCTGATTCCCATTCCACCTCTTCATTCCAATAGAATATTTCAATATTTCTTACTGTTTCCTTTAAATAGATATTTCAATATTATCTCTATTGTTTTTCTCATAAATAGATCGGAGACCCCACTGATCTACAGAGCTGTTCCCAGTTGGTTCATAAGAGTTGAGATGATAGTACAGCAGCTCCTCGAGAACAACAACAAATGCTATTGGTCCGTTTGAATTCAAAATGCTATAATATTTGGCGCTTAACTGAATTCAAGCCTCTCTTACAAACACGTACACCTTTGCTATTTGGCCGTGTGTTTCCTCGGTCCCATTCCCAATATTTGGATCCAGGGTACCGGAGTTTGTGCAGGCCAAGAGATTTGCCAACTGGCTGACAAACGCCAGGGACTGGGCTGTGTCCCGAAACCGATACTGGGGCACCCCCATTCCAATATGGGCCTCTGAGGACTTCTCCGAGGTATGCGTGGAATTTGGTAATTAATGGTGATGTAATGTCACGTGAGTGTCATGTGACAGGTGGTGTGTGTGGGTTCGGTTGAAGAGCTGGAGCAGCTGTCGGGAGTCAGGGTGTCCGACCTTCACCGCGAAAAGTGAATCATTTCTTCTTCCTCTTTGCCCCACAGTTTTCTCTCTCTCTTCTCTCCTCCTTCTCCTTGCTTACTGCATATATACCTAATAAAGGACATATGTACTAGAGCTTTATCTTTGTTGGAAAAGTTTTGGTTTGCCTGTGAGCAGTGTGCCTGAATTTACGAAGGTTTTGTAATGAAGGTTTATTTGTAGAGTCTGCGTATGTATGTATGTATTGTGGAAACTACGAGGTAGAAAGGCAAAGGCACAACAAATAAGTCATCTACACCCAGGACAGCTCTCTTTCCTAGAAAAAAAAGAGGAGCTGCCCTGGGTGGGATTCGAACCCACGACACGTGTATGTTTGAATGTGTGCTAACCTCTGCTGTTTCTCTCCTCTCTCCTCTGTGTGTGCGTTGCTAGTGTGGATCACATCACCATACCCTCCTGTCGAGGAAACGGAGTTCTGAAGAGAGTGTCTGAAGTTTTCGACTGCTGGTTTGAGAGTGGCAGGTTTGCCCGTTGTCTCTTTTCTCTGTCTTCTACACACCTTTACCTTCTCCTGCCTTCCCCCTTGCCCTAACACACACAACCTCCTTTCTCTGTGCTTTCTAGACTAACTTCCCCTTCTTTCTCTCTCCCTCACAAACACACACACACACACACACACTACGCTCACGTATCTTTTCTACATGTGTCATGCACACACACACCCCGTTCCCCTGTAACCCCATCTTCCCCATTCTCCCCCTTCCTCCCTCCTCCATCGCAGCATGCCATACGCACAAAGCCACTATCCGTTTGAAAACAAGAAGGTCTTCGAGACGACGTTTCCAGCTGACTTCATCGCGGAGGGAGTGGACCAGACCCGGGGATGGTTCTACACCCTCCTCGTTGTCTCCACGGCGCTCTTCAACAAACCTCCCTACAAGAACCTCATCGTCAACGGTCTCGTGTTGGCAAGGTGAAGTGAAGAAATTTTTATCAATGATGATCACGTGATGATCATGTGATGATCATGTGACTCAGCAATGGACAGAAGATGAGCAAGCGACTCAAGAACTATCCGGATCCCATGAACGTCGTCAAGGACTACGGAGCCGACGCCCTCCGTCTCTACCTCGTTAACTCCCCCGTCGTTAGGGCGGAGTCACTCCGGTGAGTGGGCGGGGCCTCGTTGAGTAGTAGTACGTTTGAATTTTAACCCTTTAGGTTCCAGGAGAAGGGGGTTAAAGATGTGGTGAAAGACGTGTTCTTGCCGTGGTTCAACGCTTACCGGTTCCTCATCCAGAATGTCCTGAGACTAAAACAGGTTTGACTGGTTCTTGACCAGTTTGACTAGATATTGTCAACCTCTAAAAATGTTTTGCGTTAGTCTGGTAAATCACAACACAATTTTATTATTTAGCGGGTTTATTTAGCCAGGTCTTTCCAAGTAAAGAAGATGCCTTTACCTAACTTTTGGCAATGACGTACCATTTCCAAGAACAAGAAGAAAAAAATCAACCAAAGCACAAAAAATTCCACAAATATATGTAGTTTAACAGGATGTTAAACGTGGTTAACGAGGAGAGCCAGGGTGCGCGGCATACACAGCAGGAGTGCGCATGTGCGGCGGTTTATCGCGCATGAGCACGCATGTCCGCGTGGTGGCAAGGGGTGCAGTATGCACGGGTTAGTTGGCGACAGTTGCTGTTACTGTGCACGCAGTTGTCAAGTCTGATTCCAACCACCATCCCAACCAAGCTCCTTTCTTATATACATGCAGGCAGCAAACACAAAGTTCAACCGGCCTCCATCAATCATGATGTGATAACCAGACAGTGGCACGCCACAGGCCGTGGAGGTGGGTGGACTCGCCCCTCTATCTGCCGGAAGGAAAAGGGGCTCGCAGCCATGCTCCCCATCATGCTGCTGCCGTGGGAGTGTCCCGTAGAGCGAGGCACGTACCCGCCTACCGGGCACGTGAGGGCTCGCGGTTAGCCCATATTATGACCAAATGATCAGCCTCACGAGCACACCTGGTACACGCTACAGCATGGCACACACGTGAGCTCACGTGGCCGGGCGGGGCATGCCGCAAGCTAGCTGCATGCTGCTGGATGGGGGGCACGTTGCCACCACAAGGGGACACTCCCATTATGTCTGGCTCCTCCAAAATGTAGAATGGGCGAGCATGAGTTAAACAGTTTTTACGGGAAAAACTTTTCCCCTGAGAAACATGTTCTATTCAACTCCTGTGTTCTCGTCTTGAACCACACACAGGAAGAAGGGATATCATTTGTCCACACTGCTGATTTCTCTCCTGCCAACACCATGGACCGATGGATCATCTCCTTCACCCAGAGCCTCGTCTTCTTCATGAAGGAAGAGATGGCCAGTGAGTTCATGCCGTACCTTACTGGGTACGTCGTCACGACTACATCTTCAATAAACGCCTGCAGTATTAATAGGGAGTGTGGCAGTGGCTAAATTTAGAAATGTTACTACAATTGCATTCTTTCACTGTGCCCCTATTGTTTTGTTCTATCTTTAGTAACATTTCTACATAATATCTTTAATGTTTCTAAATTTAGCCCTTATATACTGCCACATTCCCTATCAACGAAGCGAGCTAAGCTTATGGTCCGAATTTGTCTATATTGCTACATATGACTCAACAACTTGGTAGCGAGGTAGAAAGGCAAGACACACAAGACAAATACATGACTGCATTTGAAATTTGTATGCATAACCACAATTGATAATCATGTGCGCATTCCTAGTATATTACCTAAATGTCAAAATTTCTCACTTGTGTCCAGAGTACAGGCTGTACTACTGTGGTTCCTCGACTGGTGAAATTCATCGACCAGTTGACAAACTGGTACGTCCGGTCCAACAGGAAACGAATCAAGGTTAGCGGCTGATGTTGGTGTTTTATTACCTTTTGTGTCACGTGATTTTCATCTCTCTCTGCTCTATCTCGCTTGAACACGTTTCTCTCTCATCTATCTCGATTTTCATATGTCTAGGCGCCGCATCGCGTGAGACAGAGACACGCTGCGAGCTACCGTCAGACGACGTCCAGCAGGTCATGCTCAGACGACCACGCGCTGCGATATTCAGTCCTAGCTATCTTCATCGCTCGGCCTCATCTCTTCTTATCTCATTCCTGCCTTTCTCTCTTCCATATTACTCTCGCTATTCTCTCCTTCATTCCTTTACCCCTTTTCTCTTCCCCCCTTTGTCCTCCTTCACTCCCTCCCCTCTCTCCCTCTTCTCTCTTCCCTCCTTTCTTCTTTTTATTCTTTTCTCCCCATTTCACAGGGTGAACTGGGGAAACACGAGTGTCTCGATTCCATGCACACCCTGTTCTCCGTACTCTATTCCATGACGAGGATGTTGGCTCCGTTTACTCCGTTTCTCACCGAACACATGTTCCAGAACCTCCGACATCTGTTGCCGTGGGAACTGAACGACAGTAACGCCAGTCTCCACTACATTATGATGCCCAAACCAAGGTGTAGTCTAGTACATCATCTGAACCAGTTCTTTAAACTGGTTTGACTGGTTTTGCCGACAGGCCTGACCTGATTGACAAGGAGATAGAACGAGCCGTTTCTCTGATGCAGAGCGTCGTGGAAACCGGTCGCTACATAAGAGACAAAGTAGTAGTACCAATCAAGGTCCGTTTCCCGCCAATTTCCCACCTTTTTCGGAGGGTGTAGTTGAACTTTGACCTCTGCAGTTCCCCCTCCCAGAAGTTGTGGTGATCCATCGAGACCCTGGTAGCCATGACGACCTCAAAAAACTGGAAAACTACATTCTCGAGGTACAGTATACATTAACACAATGTGCATTTTCTCTTTTCAATGATATCGCAAATTTTCTTCATTCACTATTACATCCTGGGTATTTCGATATTTCTCTCTATTTAAAGGAACTGAATGTGAAAGTGTTGACCCTGGCGACGGAGGACAGTAAGTATGGGGTTCAACTCCAGGCCGAGCCCGACAGCGAAGAGACTTGGGAAACGACTGAAGGGAGATTTCAAGAGGGTTGCCCCGGCAATTAAGGCACTTAGCAACGAGCAGCTGGTTGCCTTTCAGAACGAGGGGACGATAGAGGTCGAAAGTCACGAACTGACAGTGGAAGATATCAAGGTTTGGCAATCAGATATACAGTATGTACTTATAGATATCGTGTGGAGTGGCAGCCTCGTTTGCTCGATATCAGCGCTAATGTCGTGGATGGCTCCGTGTACCGTACAAGAGGTGTTTAAAGTGTGCGAAATAGCTGTGGTTTTCAATCGCAGATATCGTACGCGGTCGCAGAGTCTCTGTCTTCTCGTTACCATGCCCACGCGAGTGGGACCCTCCTCGTTCTGCTGGACGCGACTCCCTCCCAGGAGATGGTGGATGAGGGAGTGGCACGGGAAGTCATCAACAAGATTCAGAAACTCAGAAAAAAGGTCTTCTTCACTCTTGTATTCATTTTTCACTGCCACTGGATTTTCTTAAAATTCCCGAAATCTAGTTTTTTCGTTCTTCTCTCTAGGCGGGGTTGCAACCACGAGATGCCGTTGAGGTCCTGTACAAAGTGGGCGGAGAAGGGGGTGGAGCCTCGCTAACGAGGGTGATTGAAAATCACAGGGAATACATCGAGACCACGACCAAAGGTCCGGTGAACCCATGGACTTCGACCTCTGACCTCTCCCACAAGATCGTTGAGGAGGAACAGAAGGTAGTGAATGTAAAATATGTGGAATAAAAAATTGCGTGTAAGTTTGGCGATGTATAGACGAAAGGACACTGATGTCATTGATGAGCATGTAAAAATTTTAGGTTTTGTGATTTGTAGATGAAAGGCCTGGCTGATGTCATGCTGCACCTGTGGATCATTCCCAAACCAGAGTCTAGCTCTGGGACCAATTCCATTCCATTGGTGGACCCGGTTCCAAACGGAGATGGTCCCATTCCAGTCTGTCGCTATGTCAACCTCGTCCTCTTCTTACCTCCCGGTCCAACCCTACGACCAGGTAACAATTTTGAAACCCATCTAAATTTGTTGACAGTCATTAAAAAATTTAAACCTCCACTGTATTTTTTACAGCTGGTTTACTAGCCACTCTACTATTAGAGAATCCAGTGGGAGAAAATATACTGACTCTCAACCAGTTGAAAACAGAGGTTAGTTCGTTTTACGTGCTTTTTTTAGATTATCTCCATTGGTTATTTGTAGGTGTGCAATTTGCTGAAGAGCTATCTCAATAGAGACCTGCACATCTGGGTGGTTGCCGGGGGCAACACAGAGCCGGTGACATCATCATGTGACCTGCTCTCTTTGCACAGACAGACTTGTACATCAGTGAGGAGGTCCGGAGTTTCATAAAGTTCTCTTCCCTGGCATTTTGACAATAATATGACATCATTCTTTTTTTACAGCCTCTCCCAGTGGATTGCGGGTTCCCTCCAACTGAGCCACTCACTCCATTTTCAAAGTTTGTTGACGTTACCCTTGACAACGGCCGCCAGGCAACCGTTATGCTGGAGAACCCAAAAGGGGTTAAAATCATTGCTGAAAAAGACGCTAAAATTGTTGCCAAGCAACTGTTTTGATTTCAATAGGAATTTACACCTTGGATGATTATCATAGGGTTGAGGTTTTTCAATTATTTGATGATGTAAGAATGATGTCATCTCTGAAACATGTCTCTGAGAACTTTTAAACTGTCTTTATAGCGGTCTTGCTCTGCTTGAGATGTAGCTGTCCATCTGCAATGTATAATGTAACCGTTCACTCGGTCCGGGTGAGGCAGAAGACTAATTATTATTCACGCACGCATGCATAGCGTATGAGTGATACAATGTCATGCAATCAATAGTTCAATGTGATAGTCCATGCTGGGTTACATATACATACATAGTGGGAGAGAATGCAGCTATAGAATCACTCGTGGGTTGAAAAGTTTAGACTTGGTCAACAAGAGGTGGATCTCGTCAATTCTTATATACTATAATTATGTACAGCACCTGGAACGAATGGTCTTCCATCTCTGAAGATGCTGTTCCTTGTAGTCTTGTACCTCTCCCTCTCCTTCCTGTCCGTTCTCACTTGCACCTGAATGAAAGAAAGACACCTATTCGGGGCACAGTTAGAAATCAGAGAATCTCTCGTATGTATATACAATACATTCATGAAATACAGTGGAACCTCTCTCTGAAAACACGCCCCTGAAATAAGGACACCTCTCTAATAAGGACATCCCTGAAATAAGGACACCTCTCTAATAAGGACACCCCTGAAATAAGGACACCTTTTCTTTCCCCAAGAACAGTTCTTGCATGCAATTCAACCCCTGAAATAAGGACACCTCTCTAATATGGACACTTATTTTGTCCCATTGGTGTCAGGATTAGAGGAGTTCCACCGTAGTCACGCGACAGGACATCCCTGAAATGAGGACACCTCTCTAATAAGGACACCCCTGAAATAAGGACAGCTCTCTAATAAGAGCACCTTTTCTTTCCCCAAGAACAGTTCTTGCATGCAATTCAACCCCTGAAATAAGGACACCTCTCTAATATGGACACTTTCTTCTCCCATTGGGTGTCCTAGTTAGATCGTGCGGGCATCAACAGGAAAAACAGGTTTGGCTGAACCTGTTTCTCCAGAAATGTGTCCAGGTTCTGGGCAGTCCCGTGCGGACACAGGGGTTCTGGAATGATTGACCTTTCACCTTGCACCAATGGCTGTGGACTGGGGAAGCTGTGGTGTATATAATAATAAATAGCGTCATTCGAAGGTAGAGGGAATTAAAATTATTATAGCGAGTGTAAGCTTTACCAAAGAGGATTTTGATCTTGTACATCATCATCAGTTGCCTGTGAAAAAGAAATGGAGGGGAAAAAAATTTTTTAAAATACAGAGTGTACTCTAGGTTGCATACTTTTGGGGGTTGGATAATCAATCATTGTGTTGGTCCAGGAAAAAAATAGAAACCTTTTTACGAAGAACCCTGAAGTTGTGCATAAGGCTGGATCCACAATACAACGCGTCACGGCACGAGGGGGCAATGCCACACCAAGATTTTGTTGCCTGAGGCTCTTTCTTGTAGGGAACAAGGACCATAGGGTAATTTTGCATTAGTTTGGGGACATTGCGAATCAGCCTACGACTTTTGGAGAGTGAAGTAAGGAGAAAGGCAGAGAAAGAGAGGGAGGGGGAACCTCAGCTATAGCAGCAGGTGTGTTAATCTGCGGCTGTCTCCTCTGCGGTTTGTTTCTCATCCAATCTCTACACATCACGTACAGCGGAGTGGTCTCGGAAAACCTCGCCAGATCCACTTTTCTGTCAAACAACGTCATCACGTGAGGTATGTGCCTGCATGGGACAACCAGTATAATATTAATCCTTTATACACCGTAAATGTTTACTCCAAGGAGTTGGCAGAAATGCGAGAAGAGAGAGGTGAGTTGTACTTTTACCTTCCCATTCCATTTCTTGTATCAACGTCACTTTCTACACGACGGGGACGAGAGGGAAATGGAGAGACGACTGAAGCGAGATGGAGGTCTAGAGGACTTACCATCAGATGTGGATATCAGCTCCTTTTTCCTTCTACGCCTTCGCTTCTTTGGCGACACAAAATCTACAGGGGAAAAAACTTAACAGTTACCAACAGCAACACATTTTTGTATGGTATAAGTTTTGCACATATATTTTTCCTGGAAAGACAACGGTTGTGTAGATCACTATTATTCAATTGTCCCATGGATTAATTAATACCAACCCATGAACTACAAAAATGTTAGTAGATAAGGACAAAACTCACTTTTTTTCTTTACGCCAGTCGGATCTTCTATCTTGATGCTAGTGGAACAATTTACGAACACAATGCACTAAAGACCCCAAAAAAATGGACAAACCAGTTTTTCAAACCTGTTTGGCAGCTCCACAAGGCTCTTTGCTGCCTCCTCCATTGCAGAGTCCTCCGTCAAGTCGGTTGGTTGCCTACAGAGGTTGTATACAGATCACGTGACACCACAGGGATCACGTGAAATGGTAGGCTTACTTGTCTTCTACTTCTTTGCTCTGCTGGACTAGCTCGTCTAGAGCTCCCTGCAGCTTGCGCCTCCCTACGTCGACCAAGGAGAAGAATCTCACTCGAATCCGCAAGTAGGCGAATATTTCTTTGTTTATCCTGAAACTTACCGCTTCCCATCGGCTCGCTGATCTCTTCCGTCGCCATTACGACCCACTTTCACCGCGCAGGAAGAAGAAAGTGAACTTCACCAGTTTGTAAATGCCGCCATGTTTCAAAAAAAACAAGGGCGGAGTACGTTTTCGTACAAATAGAACATTTACGACGGGGAAATTTCTTTCCGTTAAATAGAGAGGTTCTGCGCGGGGCGGGCGGGCGACGGGGGCGAGGCCAATTCAAAACAATGGCCAGTGAGCCCCCCAGGGAAAATGCCTCTTCCTTTGGCCAGGTAAACACAAATTGAGAGAAATAATGAAATCCTGTTGAAAGTTCTTTCTCGTCAGACGTCATTTTCGCCCGAAGAGCAGGCAGCAGTTCAACAGGCTCTGCAAGAGAGGCTGGGTCCAGAGTACATCAGTCAGAGGGCCGGGGCTGGGGGTCAGAAGGTAGCAACACATTATGTAATGTCGAACTGAAATGCTGCGAAAACAAATTTTCTTGATACGGGACGAAACAAGTAAACGATTATAGTTGCACATCATATTGTATGTATAGTGTCTCAAGTGATAGCTTCTGTTCATACCTTTGTTCATATATACCTGTGTGACAGCTTGCCTATATAGAGGGGAACAAGCTGATCGAGTTGACCAATGAAACGTTCGGATTCAACGGCTGGGCCCACTCCGTGACTCAGCAGTCCATTGGTCAGTCTTACAGTGGCAGTGGAACCCTTCTCTCTAAGGAAACCCCTGAAATGAGGACAAATCTCTGATTAGGACGCCTTTTTTCAAAAACAGTTTAAGGACACCTGACTAAGTAAAGAGAATGGGTCGGTATAACTTAAAATAACTAAAGAATGGGCCCAGTGCAAGAATGCAGTTAGGAATCCGATTTTATTTTCTATATTCAGCCCTTACATTACACATTCCAACATTCCCTTCTTCAGTCCTAGATTGAAGGGGTTCCACTGTACTGATTAGCTAACTCACCATAATCAGCAAGTTCTCGATCACAACAATTGGTGCAGATTTCATAGACCAGATGGGAGACAGGTTCTATGTGGGGGTCAGTTCGTTTGTGCGGGTGCAGCTGAAAGACGGAGCCTACCATGAAGATGTTGGCTATGGCGTGTCTGAAGGAATGAGATCTAAAGCCCTGTCCATCGAGAAAGCCAGAAAGGAATCCGTTACTGACGGACTCAAGAGAGCTCTTAGGTATAATTATAGTAAAGTATGAAGGAAGAGTTAATAATTATTTCACCTGTACAATCTATTGTTTATTGAGAACCGTTTTAGGGAGAGCAATAAGTAGCTATCATTGTTGTTTGCTGGGCATGTTTTTAGCCCATTGCAGCTTGTTTGTGTATTATAATGATTATATAGGGCATTTGGGAATGTTCTTGGGGAACTGTATAAGCGACAAGGCCTATCTCAAGTTCGTACAGAGACAGCCAAAGATGGTAAGAGATGAACACACAATGTGGTCTCTTCCGTAACTATATACGTTGTTCCTTGGATGATAAACATACTGATTATGGTATATACTTAACACCATGCCGAGGACCCAATTTCTAACGAATTGTACCAAATTCCTACAGTTTATCACATTCATTTTCTGATATACATATACCAATTATGTGAGTAATAATGCAGGCATGCAGTTGCGATGCACACACTTTTTGCCAAGGTTTTTCACTTTAGTGCTTTCATTATAGAGTATTACCCACAGGCGGAGTCAAGCGTTGGGTCTATGATGAACCTGAAACACAGAGGAGAAGCCAGCCAGCTGCTTGCCGAATGGCGTTCTCGGAACTCCACGACTCCTTCAGCCACTCCTCTCACTACTGGCCACTCAGCAACACCTCTGCAATTACCTTCTGCCCCTGGACCAAGTGGTCGTTTCGACAAACACCAATCTCCAAGTAGTAGTGACATCTGTAAAGAACACAAATATTGGCCTAAATCGAACAGAAGCGATAGCAGTACGCCAAGAAGTACAGGAAGCGTTGGTGTTAAATCAGAACAACGTGTGGATAAATTTGACCTAGCTCAGCAAAGGGTAGCTCAGAAAGCATTCTCAGGAGGCAAAGAGGTGCACGTGAAAGTAGAAAGACTATCTTTCACTCCTGCATCCGCAGACAACGTTTCCTCTAAACTTCCCTCAGTAGCTAGCTCCTGGTTGGTTTGCCCCGACCAAAAGGGACCGCAGGCGACCAAACCATCCCAAAATCGACCGCAAGCTGCGATTGCAACTCCTCGAGCACCGCTGTCGACAACAAAGCATGGCTGTGAACTTACGCACTCCAGAGCAAAGGAAACTGACAATACATCTAGGAATGAAACAACTCACACAACAACAACAGCAACAACAAAAGCTACAAATGCAACAACAAAAGCTGCCAATGAAACACCAAAAGCCACAAATGCAGCAACAAAAGCTGCCAATGAAACAACAAAAGCTACAAAAGCGACAACAAAAGCTGGTAATGAAACACCAAAAGCCACAAATGCAGCAACAAAGGTTGCGTCAACAGAACAAGGGAATGAGTGTGTCGTGGCGGAGCCAGAATCACTGGCGGAAGCGGCAAGAAAAAAGAGGCAAGAACTGCAAAGACTCCAGAAAGAAAAGTGGCAAATGAAGCACGGGGTGGTGGGCCAAAAGAAGAGAACTTCAGACACTGCTGAGCTCAGTACTGGGGAAGCGGAAGGAGGAGCGACAGGTGGAGATTTTCTTGAAACTGATGACCTAATCTCTGTGGGTGAGTATAAAAAAATATTTCCATAAAAAAAAATTTTTATCACATATTTTTGCCATTTTTCGTAGATATTCCCGAGTTCTGGGATAGAGTGTTGTCGAGTCAGATGACTGACGAACATCTGCCGCCAAATAAACGGTTTAGAGCATCACAATAGCATTTTACCCCGATACGGAGAAAGTCTTGTGCGCATGCTCATTGTCCGCAGAATTACACCACGCCAACTCTAATCACAGTGCAATGCTCGTGCATTTTGAGGCGACATCTGGTGCGTTCAGTAGTTATAGCTATCGTTTTAAGGACCCGTTGGGATTTGAAGAAACGGAATGACTGACCGTGATACGACCGCCTTGTCAATTTTTCGAGCTCCTAGTGTAGCGGTCTGCGAAAACTCCGTGAGTGACGTGGAGTTTGCGAGATCCCTGCCGCTCCGGGCGACCTGTCCCGTCACCACGGAGCAGGGGAAACTGCACAGCGTCTTGCTGAGCGTCTCTGAGCGTCGTCGCCGGCGGGGAGACGGAGAAACGAAACTCAATCGCGAGGGTTCCCGACCACCGCTACCCCGTTCCTCCCCGCGACCGTCGACGACGCCAGAGCCTTCGAGGAGACGAGAGAGAGTACGAAAAAGAAAACTACAGCAAAGTAAAACCATTTTGCAGTGATCTTTTGCACCTTTCACGTTACGGTCGAATATCAGCGGACGCGGAGCTACCCAGAGCTGTTGCTGACGGCGAAATCGTACAGATGCCGCCGTGCAGCAATCTTCGGAACCCTCCGCCGCATTACGACGGCATAACTACATCTACGGACGTCGAGATACACCGAACCGTATCTGCAGTCAGCCTTACAAGCTCTGGTGGTAGCGGCGACACAGCAGCGCTCTGCCCTGCGGCGGCCGAGACGGCGACAAACGACAGCTGTCGTCGGAGAGGCTATAATGAGAGGCGGAAGAAGAGTGGCGGAAAGCTGAGACGTATAAGGAAGAGATTTGGCAAGGAACGGATTTGAACGCTCTGGTCATCTTCCTGTCTATATACAATTGATCGCTTTACTTTACGTATAGATCATTAATGTCTTGATGTTCACGACATGTATCCAGATCACATGCTTTCTTTAATGGATGTTCTTTACATGATTCTCACAAAAAGGTATATACTTGTATAATATAAAAGACACATCATTCACCTAGATCACAAAACACTTGCACAATCTCGGATGCATGTATACAGGTAATGTGCAAAAAAAACCATGTCGAAATGAGTATATACAAAACATTCGTCCAAGTGGAGTAAGAGTTTGTGTAGAATTTTGGCTACTTGCAATAATTGTTTACTTTCAAAGTGAGGTAATGTAAACAGACTATGTTTGGAAAGAAGCACTTTGCGCTGCCATGGCAGACGAAATGATGTTACCAGCCACTTGCTCTTCCATTGCACCCAACACTGTCGGTGTCACGTCCAACGACGACACTTGTTTGGGATCTATTGCGGTAGTCATGGTTACGGGGGTCGTTTCCATGGCACTCATGGCGACTTCGTCGACAAGAGCGCTCATATCAGAGAGGTCTCCTTCGATTGTGTTTAGTAGCGTCGTGTTTTCGCCAAGTCCGAGTGCCGACGCTTTCTCGCGGTGTTCCTCGCAGTGATAGTGAGCTATTAGTTCGCTCGGAGCTTCGAAATTCTTGTCGCAGAGTTGGCAATGGAATCTCTTTCCTCGATTCGCTCTCGGGTGTGACCGCATGTGCTGTCGGTAGGCTATTTCAGAGTCGAACCCTTGGGAACAAACGCTGCAGTTGTAGACCTTTTCGCCGCTGTGCACCTTAATGTGCAGCTGAAGATAGGCCAGGCGGGCAAACCTCTTCCCGCAGACCTCACACTCAAACAGATGTTCAACCGAGCGATGATTTTCTAGGCTCCCAACGTCCGGGAAAACTTTGTAGCAATCGTTGCAACGGAGTCTCTCGGTATCTGCGTGATTCTGTCGGGCGTGCATCTTGTACTCGATGAGCAGCGAGAACGAAGCATCGCACTCCTGGCATTGATAGGGCCTTCCGTTGGTGTGGACCTTGAGATGGTTCATGAGCGCCGTTTGAGTGGCAAACGTTTTCAGACAGGTGCTGTACTGGCACTGAAAGGGGCGTTCGTTTGAGTGCATGCTCTTAACGTGGTTCTCAAGAGTGTCGAATCTGGTGAACGAGCGATCGCAGATGTGGCACGTGACGCGTGGTCGATTCGGATCGTGTATGTTGAGGTGCCGCGTGAGCCGATACGGACGGTCGAAGGTCTTACTGCAGATTGTGCAAGAATACACATGTTTCATGGAACACTCCATGTTAGCCTGCCCACCCTCCCCTTCCCCTGATTGTAAAACTTCGTCTTCGTGGACAAGAGAAGTCGACTGTAGCAATCCACTCTCGTCGATATCAGAAGCGGCCGGGGGTATCTCTGAACCTACCGTGACATTCATACTCGTGTTCTGCGATTCCGTGCCCTCGTCTTGGAGGGAGACCCCTTCGTTAGCGACTGTTTCGGTTTCAATATAGTCGTGGATGTTGTTGAGATCGATTCCGGGATGGTTTTCACGGAGATGCCTAAACAGGCAGCGGCGGTAGACAAAACTCGTCCCGCACACTTTACAAGACATGGGGGTAGTCGATACTTTCCGGAGTTTATTTTTCGACCCCCCGGGACTCAGTCTTTGGGGGGTCGAGCTTAGGACGGGGTCGGGGACCACCAGCATGTTTTTGACGGGGGTCTGATTAGCAGGGCCCCCCCGAGAGCGGCAGATTTTACACTTACCCTCCGATTGGGGGTCGAGCTGATCGGTTGCATACTTCCTCTTGCATGCAATGCACTTTGTGATGACTATACCAAAATTTCTGCAGAAGAGAAAAAATAACGTGAAAAATGAATAAATTTGTGTTACAATTTTCTTCTCACTGTTTTTTGGCTGGAGGACCAACATCTTCTGAAATGTCTGGGTGGTTTTCAAGTTCCACCATGGCAGTGCCCTGCATTACATCATCCCTACTGCTACTATTTATAGCACCGTCAGTGATTACATCAGCGGAGAGGTCAGAGGGCGGGTCAATGATTTTTCCGATAATAGGAACAGTCACTTCTCGAGCTGAAGTCGACCTTGAAGAAAAGGAGGCAGTGGACTTGTCGACTTGTTCCAGACTCTGGAGGCCAATTTCAGTCAGATAAATGGTCTGGAGGAGGGCCGCCGTGTCTGTTCGAATCGCTCTAACTTGATCCAGCGCTCCTTTAACCCCTTCCCCACCACCGCCCATGTGGAGCGAGGGCACGCTCTTGAGAACGTCGAGGTAGGAGTGGACCCGATGGAGACTGGACAGGACGGCTGTGGCCTTAGAGAGGGATTCCTTGATTGACTCAGAGATCTGGTCACGGAGCCTCTCATGGAGGACGCCTTGTTCTTGTGCAGTCGAGGCCATTTATTCAGCAGAGAGTGTATACTAGTTAGGGTGGAAAGGTTTGGTGAAATTTACTAGTGGGTTAGTTTTGCATTTCAGTCTCAAGTTTGTAATTTCTAGCGCCCGCTATGCACGCAGCTCACGCCACATACAGCACATACAGCAGCATCTCAAAGAACGAAAGTATGTGCTAAGGCTTACTTCAGCCCCAATTGCTCGCGTTCGTGGCCAAAAACCGGGCGCTATAAGCCCGCGGCCGCGTCAGTTTTACCTGCGACTGAGCCGGAGAAAGAAAAAGGGGGCCAATTAGTTCCCGGTGGTCGTCGCCATCTTGGAAATTCTCTCCTCCTCCCCGTCGTGTGGGTCCCGACCACCCGTCTAATTTTTTCCGGTTCGCTCGATACATTTCTCCCGGTCCCGAGCCCCGGCCGCGCGCGCCGCGGCATGCACATTACTCACCCCGATGACGCGCATGCGCAACCACGCCCCCTAGTCTTGGCAGCGAAGATGAAGCTAACGGATGAAGTTTTTCGCTCATTTCGCGTATCCAAAGTGTTCAGAGAGAACACGGACCGCGTCAACTGCTTGGACTTCTCAGCGAACGGCGACCAGATGATCGCCAGTAGCAATGACGACTCCATCGTCATATACTGCTGCCTCGAAGGAAGGTGGGCACTATTTAGAATCGCTCGCCGCTATTATCCTTATCTGTATGAGTGCAGACCGAAACGGACGCTGTACAGTAAAAAGTACGGATGCGATCTACTGCAGTACACTCACGCACCCAACGCAATTGTCTATTCATCAAACAAAGTAGACGGTAAGCGAAAAATGATCATCAGAACTTTTTCAAACGATTTCGTAACTGCAGACACAATCAGATACCTTTCTCTACACGACAACAAGTTCCTCAGATATTTTCCCGGCCACACAAAACGGTAACAAACCATTAATTTCACATATTATGGTGTGGTAGGGACCTTTGTCAAGTAGTAGCACCTAGTAAATTCTTATGGACTTGAGTCTCTGGGAACATTTTATGTGTCGGTGGCTGGTTAAGTGTTGAATTATTTTTAACACTGTTCCTCCAGGGTTGTTGCACTGATGATGTGTCCAATCAATGACTCGTTCCTCTCGGGGTCCCTCGACAGAACAATCCGACTGTGGGACCTCCGCTCACCAAACTGCCAGGGGTTGATGCATCTCAACGGGCGCCCCGTCACCAGTTTTGACCCCGAGGGGCTTATCTTCGCTGCCGGTATCGAGTCGAGGCAACTGAAGTTATATGATCTGAGGACATTTGACAAGGTGTGTGTGAGGGAGGGAGACAAGAGGGCAGCATGCAGTGTCAAAATATAATATGGAGATCTGCTAATACATACTATTTTTTTCATGGAGCATAAATTTACACAAAAAGTCTGCACCTTTAAAAAATTTGATGCTCTATATATGCATTTTTAAACCTTGTTTGCCAAATTACGACTCGATTTTTCCTCGATTTTTTCTTTCTCTCTGTTACACACACACATTTCCTCTGCTATTCAGGGGCCGTTTGCGACGTTCCGAGTCAGACAAGACCACCCGAACTGCGAGTGACCGGAATAAAATTCAGCACCGATGGAAAGAAGATCCTCATCTCAACGACCGTCGGACAGCTGAAGCTGATCGATGCTTTTCAAGGCCACGAGCTGGCGCAGACAGCTACAGCTCGACCCGGGCGCAGTTCTGTGTAGACCTGACGCCTTTGCACGGACTTTCCTACAACGATAGTAGATGTCTGCTTACGTGTGAAAGCCGCGGAAGCGAGTGAGCTCCCTGACAGTCTTCTATACACGCCGGCGACTCGGAGTGACTTTTACACATGAACTATCCTTCCACAGGGACATGTGAACAATAATCACTTGACTTTGGAGGCGTCTTTTACTCCAGACTCCAAATACATCATGTCAGGTACTGTTTTACTCCAATGTATATAGCTCCGTAATTTATTTCTCGATCTCAATTTTGGTGATGGTTTCTCAAACAGTGAATTTTGCAAAATTTGCAGAAGAACACAAAATTTCCCCCATTATGCAGGCTCTCAAGATGGAACAGTTCACGTCTGGTCGTCTGAGACAGGTCAAAAGGTCACAGTTCTCGACGGAGGTCACCCCAGCCCCACCTACAACGTCCAGTTTAACCCAAAGCTAATGATGGCTGCCTCGGCCTTGCAACAGTATTGTGAGTAACCCTTGTTTTGATATTATTGTTTGTTATTTTGTGTGTCTCTGTTTGACAGGCATTCTGGTTACCTAGTGTTGATGACTGGCAACTCTTACCGTCTAACAATGACTCATAATGGTTTTCTTACTGCCATCAACGATGAGCGCATGCGCGTCTTTTGGCTGAGGGTTACATACATATGTCTTTCGACTATATCTAAGGCTAGAATGCTATACATTGGTCGTGAGAACCACCGGGGAGAGCGTACGTGCGCAGTTTAGGCCACTCCAAGTTGTATACCGGTTTCTAGTCCGCCGCCCGCACCCCATTTCAAGAGAATGTCATTAATTATTATACTGCGCATGCTCTGCTGTGTGTACTACTAATGGCTAGCTTTGCACTCCGACTCGTCTTCCCACTATGAATTTTTGTGGTAATTATTATTATTACTACGTGGACTATTGACCCGCGCCCGCCCGCATCTTGACTTGAAGGCCCTGACCAGAAACCGGCGGAATGCAACTTGGAGTGGAGTCACGCGGAAAACAATGCGCAGAACACGCTGATTGTGGCACTGCACTTATGAGCTTACAACAGGGCATAAAAATAATAGTCAACTAGCTACACTACGCTATGTCAACAGTCTTATATACTAATTTATCTCTCCATTTTCTTCTCGGCAACAGCTTGTTCCTTCGCGACAAACTTGCTAATTTTATCGGCCAATGCAACTTTCCCTATCTTTTGTAGTCCGGCGATTATATGAGGAAGACTTGGTTGCGTTTCTTTGTCGAGCCAGGCTTGAATATAGTGTATGTTTCGGTTATTGCCGCGATATTCGTCGTCAATATCATCAAGGCAATGAATAGGTACACCGAGCCACAAAAACAGTGACCTCGTTTCTGCCTGTGTCAGCTCCGTCAGTAGAAAAAACGTATGCGTTAGCGGTGACATCGGCGGGTTCTCCGCGATTGTAATGCCTGCCATTTGTTTGAGACAGTCGGCCTTGGTGTTCAGTCCAAGAATCCGAAGCGCAGCCACCATCTTTCCCCAATTAGGCGGATCTTCGATGTCCAACAAGGCCTTTGCGTATTTTTCGTCTTTGCGGCTTCCATCAATATCGTCCAGCTTGTTCAGCGGAACTCCTAGCAGAAGAACGATGTACTTTATTTGCTGCGAGGTCAACTTGAGTTGCTCAAACACATCAAGAATCTGCAGGAGTTGATTGCTGGAGGATTCTGCCATTACAGCTAGTCGTTTTAGATGAACGAGCGCAGATTGCGACGCATGAATAGTAACGGCTATATACCTATTCATGATGGGAACGAGGTGATGTCATGCGATAACCAACTAAAATGCGTCGACAATGTCGTTCCACAGTGCATCCACATTAATCATTACGCTACGCGTTGCTATCCTATTTTTGTGTGGCCCTACGCACAAAGTGTGGCTCCACAACAGACACACCCTAAGGCTACTATTGTCCTCCAGTATTATATACACAATAGGTTCTCAGTTTTTAATCTCGGCTCCTACTTTTTCTCTAGAACCAAGTGTTTTCTTCAGCATTTCTAGTTGCTCAGCCCTTGCAATTTTGTTGATCATTTGCAATCCGGAAATGATATGCTCCTTGGAAGGGTCAGCCTCTACGTTCAGCCAGGCCTTGGCATAGTACTTTCCTCGTTCAGCATCACTGTCATGATCTTCGTCAATGTTGTCCAGCACATTATAAGTCACGCCAAGCCTGCGAAAGAGATCCCGCATTTCTTCTCTTGATAGCGTTTCACCTAGCGACGTCATTGCCGCCTCGATCACGTCGATCACACCGCGTTCGTCAGTCAGTGGCGCCGCTGGAAGCTGAAGAGTGATAGTTTTCGGATCGATACCAACCATTTCTGCAAGTTGTTTCGCTGGCCCTTTCATGTTCATGAGTCGGAGCCCGACGATAATCTTTACCCAGGTTGGAGCCAGTTCGATATCCAACCACGCCTGAATGTAGTACGCCATCCGGTCACTGCCTTTACGCCGAGCATCAACGTTGGTTAGCGTGTGTAGTTCTACTCCTAGTCGCCACATGAGGTTCTTCGTGTCTGGCACGCTCAACTTTAGTTTCGAAAACGTATTCAGCAGATCTTTGAGTGAGGCTGGCGATGCGGGACACACCTCGGCGGCCATGTTACGCTCAACTACAGTGTGCAGACGGGAAAAGAAGCAACGAAAACAAACGACACTCTTCGATCTGCGTAGGTCACCTGACTTTGGCCAGACGTGCAGATTCCAACAGTTTCCTTTCGTTGTATTATACGAGGGTATAGTAAATTTATTATACACCTACACCCACTACAATCACAACAAAGCATGAAATATGATTAACATTGTGCAAAGAGTAGCTCACATGTCTGCTGGAATGATACCTGACATTGGCAGTGCTATATATACTATATAGAAAAATATCGGGTAACTTCCCAGCCACCCCTGCATAAAATGCTAGACCTCACACGCTCGCGCTCGTATACTATATATATACACGCCGCTGCGATCGATGTGCGCATGCGCATTTGTTTGATGGCCGGGTTTAGGTTCAACTTTGTCCTTGATGAAGAAAGTGACGCTAACGTCGCTCCACTTTCTACCAGTAGGCCGATCTTCCGTGTAGTAACAGTGTTCTCTAGTATTATGTACCTTTATAGCTATAAGTGTTTTGTGTCTTCCATTGGCAGGAGCCCGGGGTCCTCAGCAGAGTAGCAGCAGCAGCAGCTTCAAACTCTCAGAGCTGGAGGTCGTCGTAGAGACCTTTCATCAACAGCTCCTCACATTCATCTCTCCTTCGTACCACTCTGTGGTACTCCAGCGAAATACCTTCTCTCCCCTCTCTCACCCATCCCTCTCTCTTCCTCTCCCCAAGACGTTGCAGTATGTAACCTCTGACACACTACAGTCACTCTTAGATGGAGGCAAATCTTCTGGGCATGATTCAAATTTGAAATCTGGCACGGAGGAATCGGTACTCTGCAGACTTGGTTCTGAACTGGGACCTCTGCTGGGCTCCACCGATTTTCTGCACTCTGACCTCATTCCAGCCGTGTACGAGGGCGGAATGAAGGTATGGGAATGTGCGTACGACCTGGTGGACTACCTGGCCAGTGGGGATTCCCCTCCTCTGTCAAGACGTCGCGTTCTGGAACTGGGATGTGGGATTGGGTTACCAGGCATATTTTCCCTGCTGACTGGAGCCGAGGTGGTTCATTTCCATGATTACAATAGAGAGGTCCTGAGCTGCCTCACTATTCCTAGCGCTCTGGCAAGTTTTGTTTCCGGCCGACCAGAATTGAAATCGGGACAAACCGGTCAAACCGGTATTCTGGACCAGTTAGCAGACAAGACAAAGTTTTATTACGGGGATTGGGCCGATTTTGTGACAAGTCACTGTGAATCGGGGGAATCCCCCTATGACATCATTTTGACATCGGAGACGATATACTCTCCCTCATCGCAGCCGAAACTGCTCCAGGCACTCAATAAACTGACCAATCAGAGCACTGGACTGGTTGTCATGGCAGCCAAGGTCCATTATTTCGGAATTGGGGGGAGTGTCGCAATGTTCAGTGATCTGGTGGCTAGTGACGGCCATTTTGAGTTGTCAGTCGTCAAAAATATCAAAGACACTGTTCCGCGAGTTATTCTCCTACTAAAGCCAAGAAACTTGTAATCATTAATATTTTTCTATAAGGTAGATATTCTCAGCCAATATTTCGGTTAGTAGTTATAGTTTGCACTGCACTCTCCAGCTATATTCAAGGCTTTCACCTTGGTTTGTTGGCCTGTCTTTCCCCCCACTTTCTTGCTAAAAGTGTATGAGAAACAAGTTTCACCCATCACTCTGCCAGTGCTAATTTCCCCTTAGACCCACATGATTCCCAGTGTAGCTATGGACACAATGGCCCCAAGGGCCCCAGCACATGGGACAACCAGAGACAGGAAGACAGCTACCCTAAAAACTTCCACCATGTAATCAGAAAGTGTGGTGTGACCAGCGCTTTCTTTCACATTCTTGATTGTGGTTTAGACTCAAAATTTGGCCACTGTAAGTATATACCGAAAACCATAAACAAGTGATATTATTGCCACAATATTGTATGAGACAATGCTCTACTCTATATAAACTGTGGGTTTCTGGAGTTGTATATGCACAATAAACACACAGACAGACAGAACCACGGAGGCCAGCCCCATCAGTCGTCCAGCTGGCAAAGCAGGGCAGTTCCTCGCAGTATCCAGTATTTGACGGTTTGTCTGAAGGCAGTTTGACTGGCAGGACATAGTTGGTGGAGTGACCTGTTGTAGAGAGGGTCCCTCTCCTGGCACTAGTCTTATAGACCGGACACAAGTACTGCCCTCTGTCCACCACGTCCTCTTTCTTGGCTGAGGTGAGAGGGAGAAAGAGGTAAGGTATAGTGTAGTTTATTGGGTAATGTTTACTTAAGTGCTGCCACGGATAGCAGTGGGTATTACTCATAGCCATTACTCATCTACGATACTATAATACTACCGTACTTACGTAGTTTATAGTGCAGTATTACGTAGCAACAGAGAGGAGAAAGATAGAAGATAGTAACACACGTACTAGGTTTCAACCAGAAGACTGGCATCATATCGTACAGTACTTTAGGAAGCTGCTCAGTCAGAACACCTCTGTAGAGAGATAGACAACTCTTTAAGCACTGCTTTAACAATATAGATAGATGTACTATAGCACCCTTACTCAATGACGTAACCCCTGAACTAATTCATTGGTAATCTTGTTATTTTATGCACATGGAGATTTTGTCAGACTCGCTCAGAATCGGGAAAAAGATGAGTTTCGTACATAGAGTTACGTAAAGCATTGCGGTATGGATGGTACCATCTACGACGACACATAAAACAGTTTAGTGCATAGCTAATTCGAATCGACCAATCAGATTTGTTAGTACGAGGTTCCTGATTTCTCATATGAACCTCGTGAGCTAACAAAAGTAACATGAAAACATGATATGAAACCTTGTTTTTTCTGTTGATTTTCAACAAGTTCAACAGCATTTCATGTAAGAAATGTATCCCGCAAAACATGATCTGTACAAAATGTTGATCAAAATAACTGATATGTTGATTTTCTTTTTATGATAAACAAACTCCAGACGTAGAGGCACCTGCACCGTGCATTTCACCATCCCATTGCTTCTCTTGGCTAGGTAAGCAAGTATACAGTGACATGGAGATAAATAAAACAGATGGTGTGAATGGAGATGAACAGTTTCACTTGGAGAAGTTTATAACTACGGAGCTGCATGAATGAAAGTTGAATACACCCGGCATACTGGCCATATTGTACTGCGCGTTCGCGCACTGTATTTGAGGTGGGCGCGGCAGGCACGCCTCTTCTTGAATGTTCGTACACGTGGCTGATTACACTAAATAGGTCGTCTAGGTCGACATCTAGGTAGCCCTCGCTGGAGTCTCCGCAAAATTCTACTGCGTCCGGGTGCAGCAAGTCGCTCAGTTCCATCTCTTTTCCGAACTGTTTGTGCGTCTGTTTTTCGCGAGTCGTTTGAAAATCTGCCATGGAAACGTAGCTTTCGCGCGCTCATGCTCTGCACTAAACAGGTTAGACGCTGGAACGCTCTGGACCTACGTAAATTCAGAAACCCTCGGGCAATGTAGTGCCCTCGCTGCGCTCGGGACACCACAGCTCCGCCCTCGGGTTTCTGAATTTACGTAGGTCCCTCGCTTCCAGCGTCTAACCTATATGCAGACGACGACTAGGTGTGTTTGCTGAGTCTCACCTGTCCCAGTCCCATCTCGCTCCGTCGAGGTAGAGCCCCTTTACATACACCCCGTCGTCCGGTGGCTCGCTGCAGTCGCTCACCGACAGAACCTCGAACTCAAACGTCAGTTTATCAATGGGGATGGTGTACTTCCTGGCATAGTTCTGCATCGCTCCCGTCAGGAACGCCTGCAGCGGAGAATATTCCGCAATAATTTCTCAGTTTTCCCGGGTTGATAAAGAAAAGCTTATTTTGGTGTGTGGGTGTTTCTTATCCTTGTTCCCAGCTGGGAATGAGGCTATAGGGTGTTCCAAACTTTATCCTGAATTCGGAGACAATAGTCTCAGAAAAAAGAGTACTTTGATGTTGGGTGAGATTCTGTGCAGGGAGAAGATTAACCCCTACACCCTTAGCACGTAATTTCAGCATGTCCTAAAAACCTTTCAGGACAAAGTTCAGGACGTCCTAATGTGCTGGAAATCCCGCTAACCTGAGTGAAGTAGAACCCGGAAATCCAGAAGATGGGAGGCTTGTTCTTCTCCAGCCATTCCTGGAGAAACTTGAGTCTCAGCAGCAGGTCGTTGATGTAGCTGCCCAGAGGCTTGAGGCTGGGGTAAGACCGTTTGGCCCAGTAGTCGGGCACTCTACCGATGAGGAGAGAGTGGGAGAGGCTTTCCAGTTCGGCGTTCATTACCACCAGGCCCTTCAGAGAGAGGGGGAGTGGGGGAAATGTTGGTTGAATTTACATTGAGGTGGATAATGGGTGAATTGATGAAAAGAAATAGAAATGGACGATAAAACTATTTTAGTACCACGTTCCCAACTCCTTTTGTATGTATAATATACAAGAAACCCTCCCTACTCTTTCTATTTTCTCAATGCGAAAGTGTGAGCCGTTTAGTCAGTTTGTACGTCACTCGTGTAAGAACAAAGGTAACTTGTAAGTTACTTGGCCCTCGTGCATTCACTGAGAGAGAGGGTGGAGGTGCCAGACTGACTTTGAGTGCCTTCTGCAGGTTGGAGAGAGAGGTTGTGATGGCAGAAGTGAGTCGGTTGAATCTCTCCATCTCCTGGACCAGCACGGTGTTCATGCTCTCTCCGTAGCTGACCGGATAGAGCTTCATCGCCTGCTCCAGGTCGAACACCGGAGGGAGCTGGGGGAAGAGGAGGAGAGGGGAAGGTTATAGAAATGGGCTGCTAGGCTTGGCACAACAGGCAGAAGAAATACATTCACGGACCATTAAAACCTTCGGCAAGTTAAACACTGTCCCACCAGTAGGAGTCAGTGTAAGTACAGCTATGTACACATGCTGGACCTTAAGTTGGAACGATTTTCAAAGCAGGCAGGCAGTGTAAGACGAAAACGGAAAAGAGAGAATTGAGAAGAGCCATTATACCTTGGAGAGAATATCTGCGGATATTTCGTTGAGGGTATCGTCCACCGTCTTGCCGCTGCTGCCACCAGAGTGCTGCGACTGGGTGACTAGAATAGAGTCAAAGAGTTCCTTGGTCTCCTGGAGCTCCTTCGAGATGTCCACGTTGTCGTCCATTCCAAATACCTCTGGATTCTGGGACATCGGCAACTCCTGTGAATGGAAGGAAGGAAGGAATGAGGGGAAATCTCTTTCGTGTTCTGATTTTGCATTTGTTTGACAGACTAAAGAAGGAGAAGACAGCTTGTTACGCTGTTTGTTGCAACTGAATACAAACTGCACTTCTGTTCTACTATAATGGGGCAATAGAGTTTGTGCATTGAAAAGTCCACAATTTTTGTCGGCAACCGCTTTTCGTGGAGAAACCTTTCAACCACCGAAGGACCAAAGAAATAGATGTAGAGCTACAGTATATACACGAGCTCTTAGCTAAAGTCTCACTGACCTTGATACAGTACATGTAGCTACACGAGCTCTCAGCTAAAGTCTCACTGACCTTGATACAGTACATGTAGCTACACGAGCTCTCAGCTAAAGTCTCACTGACCTTGATAAATTCGACGTACATCTCGTGCTCTCCTTTGGGAGGTGCATAGTACACCCCGCTGCTGGAGAACGCATACTTCGCATCCGTCACCACGTCGGACGTGTAGAAATTGGAGAGAATGTTCATGAGGCAGCGTCTGTCCCAATCGTCCGTCACCCTACCTCCGTAGTTGCATTGCCCCGTCATGTACGTCAGCGCATCAAACGGGATTGACTCGTATTCGTTGATAAACATCTGTAGCTGGCGGACGGAGATTCGAAGGTCGGATTCGTTGAAACCGTAGGGAATGTTCCAGCCGAGGGGACCGAATTTGCGACGCTCTTGAACAAGAGCGTGGAAGAAGCACAGAGAGAATAGCAGCTTTTCCCACGCCTGAAGGGAGAGAGAAGGATCATAGTGCTTTCAGTAACCCATACTTCCATTTGTATGTACTGTCGAACAAACAGGCATGTGGTCATTCACGTGTCATCAACAACAATGTGGTCACCTTTTTTCCAAGAGCTACCCTATGTGGGATTCAAACTCAGCACTCTAGGCAAGCACTCTACCAGCTGAGCTACTTATTCATGTCGTACCAGTTCCTTCTCGGGGCAGCCGGCAAAGAAGGCGGGGTCTGAGATGGGGTCGGTGAGATAGGACTGGAGGAGGTTCTGCCTCAGTCCTGTCGGTGGCTCGTTGGTCATCTTGACTCCGTTCTGGAGCACCGTGACTGGGAACTGGGGAACCGGGGAATGAAAACCTCACTCTTACACACATACGTACTTCATACTGCTAAGCCTCTCTCCCTTTCTATCTCTGCAACAGCTCTCTTTAAACTATTGACTTATGCTTTCTCAGTCTTTTTATTGTCTCCAACACACAAACAAAGCAACTACGTACTATTCTCAGTATTACTAATGACGCGGTTTCTGACATGAATGAGAAGCTGTTTTGCCAGAATGGCCCTACCTCTATTAAACCTCCTCTCTCTTATCACCTCTCCCGACTATATACAAACCTTGTCAGAAGGGTATGAGGTGAGCCACAGCCGGAAGTCCCGATGAACGTTATCAGGAGAGAAGTCTTCACATATCTTCTCCAGAGAAGGCATCCATGACACTGCTAGGTGACAGTTCTGGAGGACCACCCACGTTCCGTCCTGGACACCTGCCGTGATCAACTTGTTTGCAATGGGACCCTGAGAGAGACACAAAATTTCATCAAAATAGAGGACACTTCCTTTTTCTAACATTGAAGAAAACAACAACGTGGGCCATGTACAATGGACTTCAAAAATGAAAAAGAGAGAGAGACACTTCAGCGAATCAAAACACACAAAGTGAAGCAAAATATGTCTGAAAATTCACTCATCATTTGAAAACTCAGCTACAAAATCAAAAGTGAAATCTTTTATCAAATAATTCTTCACTCATCTACAAACTTCACTCGTCAAATGAGTGCAGGTCACTAATCAAGTAATAATGTCTGAAAATACTTCACTCGTCCATAAAATGAGATATAAAAGCATCCTTCTGTGGCCTGACCTGTCCTTGGCCCAGAGAAATGGCGTTGAACTTTTCACCGCTGAATCCCTTATCCTCGGCGAATTTGAGCAGCCCTGCCATGGGGTCAGCTCCGGGGGAGAGGACAAAGAGAAGAGGAATGCAGCAGTTTGAGTCGGCGTAGCTGCGGGCCAGGTCGAACGGCGGAGGCTCGATAAACTTCTGACCGAGATGACGGCTCACGAATGACGTCATTAGGGGAACCACCTACAGAAACAATTAGTGGGAAATACATAAAAGATGTGAAAGTTACAAATAAAGCAGTCAGAGGACATAATACGTAAGAAAAGAAGTAAAGATAGTAGGCATGTAATCCAGGCACCCGTGACACAGAAGAAAGTGTCCATATTATGAGGTGTCCTTATTTGAAGGGTTAGCAAAAGAACTGCTCTTGGGGAAAGTTAGAGAGGTGTCCTCATATCAGGGGAGGGAGAGGAGTTCTACTGTACACACAAACACAGTGCAGTAGAGACCTTGTCAGGTCTGAGGCAGCGCAGGACGATCATCTTCTGAAAGTCTGTCAGTTTTTCGCCCCAGGGAGCAGGGATGGCTGCCTTGTGGGGCTCCTTGTCGTCGTAGTAGGACTTCCAGCCTCCCAGTTGTTCGGTGAACGACTTCCTGAACCCCTGCAACGAGTGGTAACAGTGGTACTTTAATGGTGGATGCATAACAGCAAAGAGAAAACAAGACAAGTATATACTGAAGTTCCCAGCTATAGTAAAGTATTCAGGATGGTGGGAAAGGACTAACAAACCCACCATCCTGAATACTTTACTATAGCTGGGAACTACAAACAATTTAGGCCACCCTATTTTTTCACTGCACTCTCCAGCTATAGTCAAGGTATTCAGGATGGTTAGTTGGCCTGTCCTTCCCCCCACTTGCTTGCTAAAAGTACAAACAATTTAGGCCACCCTATTTTTTCACTGCACTCTCCAGCTATAGTCAAGGTATTCAGGATGGTTGGTTGGCCTGTCCTTCTCCCCACTTGCTTGCTAAAAGTACGAAAGTTAAGGCCACCCTATTTTTTCACTGCACTCTCCAGCTATAGTCAAGGTATTCAGGATGGTTGGTTAGCCTGTCCTTCCCCCCACTTGCTTGCTAAAAATACGAACAATATAGGCCACAACCCTCTATACCTTGAAGCCCTTGAGGTCACACATTCGACATATCTCGTCCCAGGATTTGTCAGATAACCAGTCGGGAGCAGGATTAGCCAGTTTGTTCTCCAGTCCAACTCCTCCAGTCAGCAGGAACATGAACTCAGTGTGATCCATGTTGTTTTTGGCTCTGGGAGAGAGAATGAGGATATAAGGAGAATACGAACACATGTGGTACATAAGATCTATATATATGTGGTACCTCTGTAGGACTGGTGTGCAATAATCATGGTGTGATCACCATTCTCTGATTTACACACTGGTCTGAGTGCCATAATGCGAGGATTAAAAACCCAACATAAATGGGTTATATACATGTAATAAACAGTGTAGATACTTGATACATAAACTACAGTTACTCAATATGGGGGCCAATAAACCGTGTATATACTCACTATGAGGAGGTTAATAAATAGTGCATATGCCAGTATGAGGTCTATATATCATTTAGAGACTCGCTATGAGGAGGTATATATAAATATACTCACGTGAGTAGGTTACAGCAGAGAATGAAGGAGAAGAGAAGTTTGTCTTTCTCAAAGAGAGAGCGACAGACATTGCAGTAGAGATTGTAGGTAAAGTGGTCGGTGAGGTAGCGAAGTCGTCGGTCCAACTGCTTTGACTTGGTACTGGGTATAATACAGGGAGATGTCACATGACATTAGGGTGGTGTCATGTGACTTCTGGATGATGTAATACAGTCCTTTAAAAAAGAACACTGACTAGTCAAAAATACCCAAAAACCAGAAATGTAACAAGAATTTTTTTTTATAAGTTTGAAGTGTCACATGACTAGTGTGTGATAGTCATGTGACGTGCTCACCTCTCGTTGATGGACTTGAGGAAGAGGTTGACGAACCAGGAGAGGGAGTACTGGTACATGGGGTCTATGTTGGGAAGGTCTGTGATTGAGAAGAAGAGGACGGAGCCGTGAGCCGCCACAGGTCGGTAGCCTGCCCGAGACTGCTCCAGTTTCTTCTCCGTATCCTCTGCAATCTGTGTGTGTGTGTGTGTGTGCGCGCGCACGAGGGGGAGAGAGAGAGAAGGGTAAAGTTGCGGAAAAGTGAGGAAAGTCATGTTAAATGTATAGAGAGAGGGGGAAAAGAGGGGAGAAAGGGAGGGAAGTAAAGATTGTGTGTGAAGAGCAAGGAAAGGAAAGTGTAAGACGAAGAGGGATAGCAGGGAAAGAAGAGAAACAGAGATAACGTACCTTCTGTTTCTTTGAGATCTCATTCGAGAGAACCTTGGAAGAGTCAAGAATCTGAATGGCGGTCTCATCCTCCAGAATGTTTCCCTCTGACGAGGAGAGGGTCTCCAAAATCTTGTCTTCGATTTCCTTGAGTTGCTTCTTGTTGGTGGCCGACTGGAGGATTAGGGCACTTCTTTCCTCTTCTAGCTCCGGCCTGCAGAGAGGTCAATGGTGCATACAAAGGTCAAAACCCTCTAGAGTAAGTTCATGCATGATCTATGCAAGGCACTTATGTAGGCACATTTATACTCAGTGAGTCCTTTTCGCTATAAATGCACTCTGACCTTTCCTTGGCGACGACGATGCCAAGCAGCTGGTCCTCGAGGCCTTCGGGAGTGATCATGAAGTTCAGGAGAGTGACCTTCGTGGACAGCTCGGGGAGGTAGTGAGGGTTGCGGAGTTTTGTGGTGATGTACAGTCGGAAGTCGCTGGAATACTCGATTACGGTGTCTCCCAACTTGATGCACCATACACCACCTGAAATGGAGGGTGAGAGAAGGGGGCAATTTTTTTCTTTTCAGCCTCTTACAAATTTCCTATAATTATGAGTGTATTTGCCATGCTATATACGTAATATACAGCCTGAAATGTTGGTAATGAGCTTACTTTAGTGGTTGGAACTCCCAAACTAAAATCAACAAAGCAATGGCTACAGATTATGACTGTGAAATGATTTCTACGCCCCCTATAAAGTACAGTTCTTGTAGAAGTGTTTATACACAGCATTAAGTATACAGTGGCTGCAGTAGCCTGTATGCTGTGAGGAAACGTCTGTACCTTGTTTGAAGGTCTGTTTGAGCAGCAGAGGTTCCAGGGATGGATCCAGCTCTTCGCCGACATTCTCGATGAGGACTGGAGTTCCAAACTGAATGCAGTTCTCCAGAGTTCTCACGTAGTCGGCCTGCGTCAGTTTCACCACGCGAAGTCCGCTCTCCTTTTCCATGTTCTTCACCCACTTGTTCGCCTGGCCCTGTGGGTCGATCATCAGGGGCCTGTATATAGTGGAGGAGGAGAGGTGGACCGTTGTGAAATGGGTCGTCCCGTTGTGTAACACGTGGCTTCGATAGAGGCAATGCAAGAAATGCAATGGGGATCATACCCAGACCGCTCTGCACTAGTATTTCCAAACAGGATGACCACATCACCTATGCATGCCGTAATGAATTCACATGTTTTCAGCTTATTTTTACCGCAATCCAAGGGTGACACGCCAAATTTCATGCGTAGCAAAATTTACAAGAAATTGAATCACGTACCATCTCCTAGTGTTAGCCACAATGACGCCATTGTCAATGGAGAAGGCATCGGTGGGGAGACCAGCTATATTCCAGGCCCTGATCTTGATTGGTTCACCCAGCGTCCTGCTGAGACTGTAGTCATGGCTACAAGGTACCTTCAGCGCCTGCACCAAAAATCATAATAAGTAAATACAAGTACTTTAGGACGTGTAGTTGACTTGTTTGCCTTGCCTTGCCTTTCTACCTCCGTAAGACATGCATAGGTTGGACACAGGTTTTATGCCCATACATTTGGATTTTCATGTTTCACTTTCAATGTTTCAGTCCATGGAATGCCGAATGAAGCAATGCCAAGAAAGCAAACAAGGAGTAATTAATACCAACAACTCTCTAGCATGGACTAAAGTTCACTAATTCTTTATCTGAAATAGTGATGGCTGACAGCTCAAGCAATCACTTTCTGTACTGGCACGGACATTTTCCCCCCGAATACCTGGCATTTCTTGCTCCATTCGCGAGAGCATTCGGTTCTGAATGCAGACGTGAATGCCCCCAGGTAGGCAATCACCCCCGACGATATCAGCACGTCCCCTGAAATCAAGAAAGATGATCTTAAAATGTTGTGTAAAAGCTGAAACGTTCATCTCTTGCAAAAGCTTAGGCATAAACTTAGCAAAGTAACTAAGTAACTTTGATTGGGCAACTAAAAGTGTACATGTGACAAATTGGAGAGATCTGATTGGCTGAAGGTCACATGAGTAACTTTGAGCCACTGACTCCAAAAGAAACCTTTGAGCCACTACAGTCAAAGGTTAAACTAATGAAGTCCAGAAACACGTGAAACAACGTCTACTAATGTTACTGACCAGTGAGGTTGTCGTATGTCTCCTGAAGTGAGGCGGCAGCCTGCGTCCACCGATCTTTCTCACCTCCCAGACCTCCGATCAGTTTTTGAGCTCTGTCCAGCTTCTTGGCACACAGATCCACCTGCAGACAGAAGGAGGGAGAGGTGGGCTGTAAACTTGTCAAGGTTTATAAAGACCACTAGTTTTTGAAGAGTTCGACAGACGTCTACTACTGATGATGAATATTAAAAATTCCCAGATTGATACGAAATTTTGTGATCATTTTATTACTTGCCTCAAAAAAAGGAAATTTATAACTTGCTACGAAGTATTTTCTCAAGAGAAAGATGGAATTGAAGGACAGAAAGTCTAGCTAGCTACATAATTTTCTTGCCTGAAACTCGAGGTCTTCCTTTTCTTTCGTCTTCTCCTCAAACTGAGCAGTCAGCACGGCAAGTCGATCCTCAACTTCCTTCAACTCAGCTCTCTTTGCGTTCAGCACTACCAACGTCTCCTTGAGGCATTGCTCCGCTTCGGCCAGTTTCGCCTTCTTCGGAGCGACAACTTTGGCGACTCTATCGTAGATTTCCATGGCTTGGACCCACTTGCACAGACCCTCGGCCGCAGAAGATGCAGTTCTGACTTTCACGGGGTCGAAATCGGGGTTCGTGCAGTATTCGCTGCGGATCTTCGTCATGATGTGGACTGCTATGTTGTCCTTGTCGTACTCGCGGAGTATGTCCAGGAATTTCATGTCTCCCAGCAGGCGTTTCGACGGTCCCCAGTAGTCCAGGATTTTCTGACCTGTGCCTGGAGAGAGAGAGGGAGAGAGAGAATGAGAAAGAGGAAACTTTTTAACGGTTATTGCTCCAGTTTGTACGTACGTACGTGGATGAATCACAGGTGTCTGACACTAATGTACAGGACACTACTTTCTTCGAAGAAAAAGAGCTGCCCTGGGTGGGACTCAAACCCACGACACTCTGCAGTCTAGGCAGAGTGCTCTATATCACTGAACTACTAGGGCAGCTCAGCTGGTAGAAGTCTACTACTACAACACACAATGCAAGTACAGTACGTATTAGTTGTTGCCTGGGCTCGAGTGCCACATGGGATGTGTTGGCACAGTTGTGACGTAATGGCAGCAAGAGAGAATGTCTACCTGCAGGATCATTGATCTTGTCAGGTTTGATATCTCTCATCACACACACAGCTGCCATCACCAGTCTCACTCCGGCCGGCGGGCTCTTCATCGTCTTGACGATGGTGATGTCAGAGGGTTTGAGCGTGTTCAGAGCTGCCAGGGCTGCCTCCAGGGCAGGTATTGCCTCTGCTAAATCTCCCTCACACTGCATGTGACGCAAATTGGAGGGTAATTTTTTTCGCATTCGAGGAATTTCGAATGTCAAACTTTTGCTGTCAATGTCAAATTTTCACATTAGGAAGGAGAAAATCAAATTTTCATATTTGAGGAATTTGGAAGGTCAAATTTTGCGGGGAATGTCAAATTTTCACATTAGGAAGGAGAAAATTTTCGCATTTAAGGAATTTGGAAGGTCAAATTTTGCAGGGGAAATGTCAAATTTTCGCATTAGGAAGGAGAAAATGTTCGCATTTAAGGAATTTGGATAGTCGCATTTGAGGAATTTGGAAGTCAAATTTTGCGGGGAATGTCAAATTTTCGCATTTAAGGAATTTGGAAGGTCAAATTTTCGTTAAAATATTTCATCACCTCGTCCTTGAGTGCTTGAGCCTCTGCAGCTTGTTTGTTGGCTGCAGCTTCATCTCTCTTCACCACCTTACTCCTGGCGGCTACCTCCGTGCTCTCTCGCTCGATGACTGTCATCATCTTGGCGTTCTCCTCCTTCGCCACCTCCAGTTTCGGCTGCAGCTCCTCCAATTCCTTCTGCATCATGGCCACCTGAGGGGTAAGAATCGCGAGGAATAAACCAACTCAACTTCCCAAGAACCTTTTCTCTAGCTCTAGGGTCTGTTTTTCTGCTGTGAATTTTAGCTGCGCCTTTTATGCCTTGGGTGTAAGCTGTGCTTTGGGCGTCTTGAATGGGCCTAGTGTGTCTACAAATTGTTGGGAGCAAGGACTATATAAGGACAGCGAGATGGCGACAAACTAGACACATTGCAGGAATGAAAGGTGTGATAGGGACAGATGAGGGCAATATAAATAGTCTGAACATACGTACACTGTAGCAATGAGGAAAATGCTGTGTACATAGTTACGTACCTGTGATGCAGCGAACTCTAGTTTCTCCAGACCAACGACGTATCTGTTCTTCATCTTCACAATGGTGCCTCGACTGCCGCCCAGCAGTTTCTTGAAGGAGGATATCAGCTCCAGGTAGGAGGTGGGCGTCACGTAGTTATGGCGGCCCAGTTTGGCCAGGAACGTATCGGAGAGCTCGCGTGCGCTCTGGTGGAAGTGTTTGCAGATAGTGACAGTCGCCGACCGCTCGTCCGTGTTCAACTCAACTTCCTCAAGGAACCGGTTGGCAACCAACTCTGGAGGAAGAAAGGAGGGGAAGAAGAACGTTTTGAAATTTCACTTACATACGCTCATACGCTTCCAGAAAGAATTAACAAAAATCTCTAGAAATAGTTAAAGTGTACCGAGAGCATCGTCGGGCCAGGCTTGGAACCAGTCAATGGTACAGCAGTTGATGAGGGATGGGAACTGGCGCACGCGACTCCGGAATGCGTCCCCGATCGGTGAGAATGCGAGAATGACGTGCAGATTTTCTCTACATCGATTCACGAAGTAGTTGAAGAGTGAAAGAGGCGTATGCTCTGCGTCCTTGTTCTCTGCTTGTGCCATCGGTCGCATCGCCTGCAGATGACATAATTATTACATAATTCTATGATGTAATCCTGATGTAATGGTTGACCTCAACGATCTCTTGCTTCTCGTCAATGGCAAAGAGATTGGGGACTTCCCCTGCGTTCAAGAGGCCATCGACGTCTTCAAGAAATGACTCTTGCTTGATCTGAGTGTCAGTTAGTAGGAACACCGTGGTTTTGCCGTCCTTGCCAGCCTGTGGAGGTGGGATAAATAGGCATTCGACTATAAAATTGAGCCGTGAAAACTCTGCCTTGAGCAGTGTTTGATCAGCCAAACGTCTAAACCAGAATCAAAACAAGCATCAACAGGAAAATCCGGTCAAACCTGTTTCAGGAGTGTCTTGAGGTCTTCCTTCCACTCGGGGTCGCCGTAGCTCTTGGTGATCTCGGGCTGGAAGAGCGTGTAGTCGGCCATCGATGTGGCAAGGCGTGTGAGAGACTGTCTCCCACTGCCCCCCACTCCAACCAGCAGAGCGTTGCCTCCAGGCTGCTTGATGATACGACAGATCCTCGACAGGTGCTCCAGAACATACCTGGAGAAAAAAGAAGCAAGAACGAAAGGAAGAGAAGTTGGAAAAAAAACAGTGGCAACATATGTGCGTGTAAGTTGTGCCTGAAAAGCTAATGAGATTGCTGTGGCTTGTGATACACTGGACACACTCAAAAAAGGAAAATATGCAAGGTTGAACTGCAGCAAAAACTATAATGTTCAATGGATGTACATATAAGCTTTAACGTTTTTGTTTCTGCTGCACAATTAAAATTGCAAAAAGTATAAAGCTAAATGTGTGAAATGAGAGATGTGGTGCACCTGAAAATGACGAGGTCCATTCTGTTCTTGTGGGTGTTATTGTACTCCTCCAGAGCTGTTTCCACCACTCCAGTCAGGTCATCCAGACTAGCCACTTCCTCGTACAACTTGGTCTCCTGATGGGAGGCAGGGAAAGAACAGAGGGATAAAATGAGGGAAGAGAAAGAGTCGAATCGATGTCCCCGCGTTGTAACGTACGGCATCAGGGTTCATGTAGTCTCCGAACAGAAGAGACCTCATGTTGTCGTCGGTCACCCTCCCTCCTCCACCGGCCAGGAGGTGATTGAAGAGGTTGTTGAAGTCCTCCTTGAAGTGCTGCTTCACTGCACCCTGGGCAGGGGGAGGGAGGGAGGGGGGGGAGGGAATGTGTCAGTACATAGAACAAAACTCTGGGCAGGGGGAGGGAGGGAGAATGTAGGTACAGCTATATCTCTTTCCAATGTTGTTCAACTGAGTTCTTTTTGAATGTATACATGGATCGAGACTTATATCAAAAATATGTGCCAGATATTTGGACTAATCATAAAGAGAGGAGAAAGAAAGAGACAGGAAAAAAACGAGAGGTAAGACAGAAAAATAATGGATGGATAATTGTTGGGAAACAAAAGACTATAAATGGTAGACGTGTATCACAGATGATCAGAGATTTGCAGTGTAACTGTAGATATGGATCAAACCTGGAGCAGTTCGAAGACCCACTGTCTATCTTTCCCGTCCACCAGTCTGTCGTAGTACACTCGGTACACCTCGTGGACCCACAGTCGAATGAACGTCCTCTTGTTCTCCAGCGACTGAGGCTTCACGAGGAGACAGCCGAGCACGACACGGGCAAAGTCTCTCAGGTTGAAGACGTAGTGTGACTTGGCAGGTGTGGGGAGGAGGTTCTTCATGGCCTCTTTGTACACGTGGAGAGTGGCAGAGACAAGCATAGTACCAAGGGTGTGGTACTCCGGGTGGAAGTTCTCCGCCTAACAAACGGGGGAATTGTTTGTAAAGTCCAGAAAGCAACTCTATGGTACACAAGTAGGTATGTACATGAAAAATTTGGTGGGCAATCAGTTGAGCAATTTTGCCTCAAAATGCACAAAACGAGGCTGAAAAATTGCTGGTTAGCACAATGTACATGTACATGTTACAATTTTACATTTTTACGTGCAGACAGTTAAAATGGTAGAGTGTAATTTGGGAACACCTTCAGTTTGAAGGTGACGATGTTGGAGAATATTCTGCTCATCGTCTCGTCGCTGAACTCGTTGATCCCGATGATGTTGAAATGTCTCAGGAATCGCGGCGTGATGGGGTTCCTGCCTCCCCCAGGGGGGCCCATAGCCCCTATCATCTGCAGGTCCACCAGCTGGAGCTTTGTCGTGTCCTTCTTGTCATACCTACACATACAGAACAAAGGGGATGGCCATAGCTGGACAAATAATGGTCTAACTCCTTCAGCTTATCATTGCCTTCACATGCTTATTAAAGTTAGCGGTTTTTGCACTGCACTCTCCAGCTATAGTCAAGGCATTCAGGATGGTTGGTTGGCCTGTCCTTCCCCCCACTTGCTTGCTAAAAGTACAAACAATTTAGGCCACCCTATTCTTTCACTGCACACTCCAGCTATAGTCAAGGTATTCAGGATGGTTGGTTGGCCTGTCCTTCTTCTTGCTTGCTAGCTAAAAGTACGAACAATTTAGACCACCCTATTACACTCTCCAGCTATAGTCAAGGTATTCAGGATGGTTGGTTGACTTGCTCTTCCATTCACTTGCGCTTGTACATGTAATGCCAGCACGTATATATAGCCTCAGATGAATTAATCCGCACATCCCACTCCCGATACTCCTGTTCCTCACCACATGGCGTGGTCCATCCACTGTCTCAGCAGCTCTATAGGAGGCTGTGCCCCGTACTGCTCTCTGGCAGGCATGTTCATGTCGTCGATGAAAATGACGCTCTTCTTCCCAACTGGAGGGCCAAACACTCCCTTCCTCCGTTTGTCCAGTTTCGACATCACCAGATCCTGCACCTGACCTGCCCTCGTCTGGGCCGAGAAATTTATCACCTGCAGCACACAAAATTTAGAGAGGGCATCTGTAAATTCGAAACATCTATTAAAATTTTTTCGGGCTTTCATCGTTCATCGTCTTGGTAAGAAAGTAATAGTCGATGTCTTGACTATTTTAAAAACAAGTTATGCATTGCTACCTCGTAATGATATGCCAATTTCTCACGATTACTTCACTGTATATTAGGTCGTAATGACATAATTAGTAATAATGACATCATATTAAACTCACGAGTGGTTGGAAGATTTCCTTGTTGATTCTGTTGAGTAGTTTGTCTTTGATGTAGACGGTCTTCCCGGTGCCAGTGGGACCGACAAACAGGACTGTTCTGCCGTGGGTGATCATCACGTCCAGAAGGTAGGAATAGCTACAGGAGTGGAGGAAAAGGAGTGAGAATGGAAGGAAACGAAGAAAGGTGGGGTGAGATGGGGGAAAGACCCAACGTTGCAGTGAAATATATTTAGGTGCGATGTTTGGAGCAGATATTAGGGTGAGATAGGGGAAAGACCCAACGTTGCAGGGAAACATATTTAGGTGCGATGTTTGGAGCGAATATTAGGGTGAGATGGGGGAAAAGAAGCGAGACAAGAAATGTTGAGCGAGATAAGGAGGGGGAAAAGAAGCGAGACAAGAAACGTTGAGCGAGATAAGGAGGGGGAAAAGAAGCGAGACAAGAAACGTTGAGCGAGATAAGGAGGGGGAAAAGAAGCGAGACAAGAAACGTTGAGCGAGATAAGGAGGGGGGAAAAGAAGCGAGACAAGAAACGTTGAGCGAGATAAGGAGGGGGAAAAGAAGCGAGACAAGAAACGTTGAGCGAGATAAGGAGGGGGAAAAGAAGCGAGACAAGAAATGTTGAGCGAGATAAGGAGGGGGAAAAGAAGCGAGACAAGAAATGTTGAGCGAGATAAGGAGGGGGAAAAGAAGCGAGACAAGAAATGTTGAGCGAGATAAGGAGGGGGAAAAGAAGCGAGACAAGAAACGTTGAGCGAGATAAGGAGGGGGAAAAGAAGAAAGTTTGCAGCGAGATGTGGAAACCTCCCCAGCCACTCACCGAGCTGTGTCCAACGTCGGTACGATGATGTCACTCAATTTCTTGATACCGGGATCTATCACCTTGTCCTTTATGGTGTCCAGCCAGGGGATCCACTTTCCCCGCCCCTTTTGCTATGGAAACAAATGGAATACTTGTTACCATGGCAGCCTATTACCTAACAACTAAAATCTGAAATCATTGCCCACTGTTGCTATGTAAACTGATCATACGTGTTGCTATGGTAACACAACCTAATGAAAGGGGTTGCTTCATTCATTCATACCTCAAACATGTAGTCATAGACCAGGCCCTCGGGAGGGATGGGTACGTCAATTTTTCCGACTTCGCCAGGGATGACGTGACCTTCCATTTTCCCGCTCATCAGCTCTCGGAGAAACGAGTCAAACTTTTCGTGTCCGTTCCCGTCGCATGTGGCGCCTAGCGACCACACCAGACAGAACAGGAAGGTGCTCTGTACGGGAGGTAAATTGCGAGAGGGAAGAAAGTAGAAATGGCAGGGGAGCGAAATCTTATGCTCACTATAATGCGATTCTAGCAAAATGCTTCGCATACAATGGTTGCTGTCTTTGGCCCCTCCTCCATGAAAACACAAAAATACGAAAATGCTAAATGCACTGCACTTTCAAAGCACACACTATGGTACTATAAGAGAACCCAAGGTATGTATACATCGTATATAGAAGAATGAAAGTCATATGCTTATAGAAACGTACTCACCGTCATCCATACTCTCAGATTCTTGTTCTCCCTTGCTGCCTTCTCGTCCTCCACCGCCGATGACATCATCATGTCAAACATGTACATCAGAGATCGCGTCAGATTAGCCTCCGAGGTCGGCACCAACTCTGCAATGACGTAATTATTACGTAAGAGACTGTATGTACGTAATAGACATTGGTATCGGACTCTAAGCAATAGCACTAGTTTTGAGAAAACTTTACGAAAAGCTTCAAACGTTAATGCTATAAGAACCCTCAGGCACGCTGTTCAAATGTTTCTAAAAATAGAACTCTATGACGTAATTATGATGTAATACCCACCCTTGAGATGCCTCTGAACGAGATCGAGGCAGGGGTCGACCAGCCAGTCAACGAGGGCGGTGATGAGAGGTGAGTGATCTGCGAGACTGGGAGGCAGCTGGGCGACCCAGGAGGTGAAGATGGGACGCCAGCCGAATGAGGAAGGCTCGAGGTAGATCATGCCACATCTGCTCACTGTTGCCGGCTGCACGCAGGTGTATACATAAGAGGTCAGAAAATGGAGGTTAAAATGATTTACACCAATTATCTCTCCCCCCCTTTTCATGACACGCAACTTTTTCATTGCAGTGCCAAATGTGGCGCATCAATTTTTGCCAATTGGCAGGTTTTAAAGTTTTGTGCTGAAATCATTTTCGGACCACGGTAGCTTGTAATCTTCGTAGACTGAGACTGCATTGCACAATGGAACTATACTGTCTATTTAACCCTCCCTGTCCATCTTTGCCCTCCCTGCCTCCCTCCCTCTCTCCATCTTTACCCTCCCTCCCTGCCTCCTCTCTCCCTGCCTCCCTCCCCTGCCTCCCTGCCTCCCTCCCTCCCTCCCTCCCTGTCTCACCGAAGCCTGGGAAAGGTCGTCGGCCTCAAAGATGAGATTCATGCTGGCCGACATCTGGATGATTTCGCCGCTCATCAGACACAGTTTCTTGTTGTCGTCCAGCACGGTGTTCATGCTCTCAATCCACAGAGTGTCCACCGGCCCGTCAAACACCACCCATTTCCGGTCGTCGTTCTCTGCCTTCGCAAACTCCCTGTCAAAACAACAGCAAAACATTCACTGCAGGAACTTTGTGTTTTGACATTTCGCAGTTTTGCTTGTTAAAAAGTGAATTTGTTTGGCTTGGTGAGTCAAAGGGGAAGTTTGAGACTGTCTTGAGAGCTTTTCAGCAAAAAAGTTTGTGGCCAAAAATCCATTCAGTTTGACAAATAAAAGTTAATTTTCCTGTCCTCGTATTCTTCTGAATGAAGACGTGGTGGTTTAAGAATTACCTGAAAGTATTGGCGACAATGCCGTCGGTCCATTCGTGGGAGACAGGATCAAACTGACCAAATAGCTGACCCATTGTAACCGCCTTTGGATTGATCACCTACGTACACGATAACAAATATTGCTACGGTAACACTGCTGTTTCCAAGGTAACAGTTGTTTCTATGGTAACACTGCTGTTTACAAGGTAACTATGGTAATACACCCATACACCCATTTCCAGGTAAAAATTGCTATGGTAACACCCGTTTCCAAGGTTACCTTGTACATTGTCTTGTACTCCTCCATCTGTCCGCGTTCGTTCAACAGAGTGAGAGTGGAGGCGAGAACGTTGAGTACTTTTGTCTTGGAGGCAAACGGTCCTCCAACCAGCATGAAGCCGTGTCGGACGATCATCATCTCGTAGGTCTGGATGAGTTTCTGGATGAAGAACTCCGTGGCTTGGAGGATCTTCTCAGTGCACACCTGTATGGAGTCGAGAGGGGATCGGGGGGAGATGGGGGCAAAATGGAGAGAGGAAGGGAAAAGGGTTAGTGATGGAGATGAAGGGGTAAGATAAGGGAGAAAGAGATACTAAACACGTGAGAGGGACGAAGAAGAGCAATATCTAAACAGAGAGTGCAAGAGAGGTTAATTAAAAGACGAAGCACGGTGTGATGTAATTAAGTGGACTGACCTGATTGGCGGCACTGAGAAACTCGTCGTAGTCCGGTTTGGGCAGTTGGACACCGGGAAACAGGTCTGAGATGATTCCCTTGAACAGGGGAATGTCTGGAGCCAGGAACTGGGGAACAGGAACCGAGGAATAGGAACCAGACACGATTATGATTGAAGTGTTATGATAGATTCCACCCCAAAGAGTAAAAGGAGGGCGTTCTAATAAAAGCCACCCCCCGCACCTTGGGCAGGTTGACGTCCATAATGGAGCGAAGGAGGAGAACGTTTTCATCTTCAGTTGGATATTTCAGTTTCAGGTTCCCAGCAGCTGCCAGCACCGACTTCACAGCCCTCATGCCGTAGTCATAGTGGAACTGACTGGATAGCTGGAGGGACGAGAATGAGAGAGACGGACAAAAATGACCAAATTCAAGGTAATTTTGGGTAAGTTAATAAGAACACTACAATTGTATGTATGATCTAGGAAACATATTGCAGGTGAGCAATTTCACAATGGGTCATCCCAATTGTGTCCTGATTAATAAAGAACGATGTACGTAGGTGTACGGACCTGTTCAGAGCAGAGACGATATGTGGTGACGATCTTGACTGAGAGGTTTCGCGCGTCGACGAAGCCATAGGAGTAGAGCATGATCTCTCCAATCATGGCATAGTCCGGTACCATCATGGCAACCGTACGGAACAGAACCTGGAGCATATGGACAGGGTTAAACAACAACAGTAATCAGCTATTATAAGGTTAAAAATGTTACAATACACAATGTAAGAGCTGATTCGTATGCTTGCAAGAAATGCAAGATTGTTGGCGCTAAGTCAAAACGAATGCTTCTATTCCACACTCCAACTGTAGTCGAAGTATTCATGATAGTTGGTTTGTCTTTACTTCCACTGACGCGCTTGAAAGAAATGCAAAATTATTACCATAGTACTCCACTTATGCACTTGAACAAAATGGTTATAGCTACCATAAAGGGGTAAGGTGTAAGGGGGACGGTGCAGTATGTAAGTTTAAGTAAAGATGAGAGAAAAAGACCTTGAGATTGTCGGGAAGTTCGGATCGACCAGCATAGCCAGGGTTCATGGTGATACAGACGAAGCAAGAAGGCTTCAGGGAGATAGTTGTTCCCTCGAACACGAACGACGAGAGGTGGGCTATCACGGCTCTCTGGATTGACAGCATCTGCTGAGCTATCACTGACAGAACCTTGGGGAAAGAGACAGGAAAAAGTTGGCTGAATTCACGTAAATTAAACTGCTCACGCTTTCACAAGAAGAAAGAAAGAGATACAGGGGGGAGGGCATGACACAATGCGAAATTCATAAACTAATGCCATTCCTGCGAATATATATCAACAAGTGAAAAAGCTCCCATGTGACTATCACATGACTGAGATAGGGGTCACATGACCAATATACATACCTCCAGTTCGATTCTGTTGAACTCATCAAAGCAAGCCCACGCTCCAGCGCTAGCGAGACCTTTGAAGAACTTCCCCATGGCAAGATAGTCCAGTCCGTCCGAGCAGTTGAAGACGACGCACTGAGTGGCCAGAGCCTTCGCCAGGTCTTTCACCGTCTCCGTCTTCCCGGTCCCCGCGGGCCCCTCGGGGGCACCCCCCAGGTTCAGGTGGAAGGCCCCCACGAGGGTTCGGTAGCAGCGGTCAGTCAGGGGGGTTATCACCAATCTGCGGGGGTGACACACTCACAAACCAAGTATACTGTAACCCTCGCTGCGCATGCGCACCGAGGGTTAACCATGCGTACATGGCCGTATGTAGTGTACATACCTCCCAGTATTTCCGAGGTATTCGTACTGGTATTTGACGCTGGCGTTGGTGATTCTGGCGATGCAGTCATCTTTCTCCCAGTAGTAACGGAGCTGACACAGCCAGTTGAAATCTGTGTCAGACGTCACCTCTGGAGGCAGAGAAAGAGAGAGAGAGAGAGGAGGGACGGTGAAATACACGAAGGACAAAAGAATAAGTACAGTGAGATAGTGTTGCTATTTCACTCTCCAACTATAGTATTAGGCGTCGTTGGTTTGTACTCATGTGCGTACAAAAAATGCGAAACCATTCAAACCCTTACTGGTAGGGGTAAAGAGGGGGTGAAGGGACAACGAAATAGATAGAGATAGATAAGGATAGGTACAACGAGATTCCACTCTCCAACTATAGTCAATGTACTAGAGATGGTTGGTTTGTCATGTGCGTACAAAAAATGCGAAACCCTTATTGGGAGGGGAGGGGGTGAAGGGACAGCGAAATAGATAGAGATAGGGAAAGATACAGGGACAGGCACAGTGAGATAGTGTTGCTATTCCACCCTCCAACTGGAAGAGTGTTATTTACTCTCACTCAATTCTCTAACCTTTGTCAACGAGTTCCTGGACCACGTCCTTGGCGTGTACGTCGATGACAACCAGCGCTCCCAGCGTAACTCGCGTCTGTTTAGGGAGCTTTCCTCGCACGAGGGTCACAATGTCGGACAACTGTTCTCGCAGCTTCTTGTGGTAGTCCTTGACTCCCTGGACTCCGTTTCCTATGGCTTCGTGGACCTCCTCAGTCCAGTAGATTTGGTTGGCACAGATGGCGACTTGCCCGGGCCACTGACGCACCCAGTCAAGCCTCTCCGTCACTGGATAAGCCTGTAGAAAGAGGAGAGAAGAGAGAAGAGAGAGAGAGAGAGAGAGAGAGAGAGAGGAGAGAGAAAACATTATATGGTTCTCATAGCACATTAATCTGTGAATGGGTATATAGTAAAGAATAAGAAGGGAGATAGTTGGAAAGGGGGAAAGAAACATTAAAAGACATCTTCCCTGATAAACCAGTAGAAAAGTTTTTCTAGATCTTTCCGCACCTCTTTAGCCTGCTGGATGATGTCTCTCACAGACACGACCATGACCTCCTGGACCTGTAGCAGCCATTTCTCCACCGCTCCACGTGCGGCGCTTGTCGAAATGATCTGAGAAAATTCAACCTTCTCCCCCTCGCTGCTGAACATGGCGGCAATGTCCATATTAGGAAGAAACTCCAGTTTTCCGATTCCCTCAAAACACTTCTTGAGGTGAGGTTGGACTCTCGTGGGGTCTTTTGTCTCGGACAGAATCTCCAGCATTTCGTCGTTCGAGAGGAAAAAGAATCGCGGGAAAAACAGCCTCTTTTTCTCTAGGTAAGCGTTGAGACCTTTAAGGATTTTCTCAAGAAGGGCGTTGCTGGTTCTGAGCTTCTCCAGAAGTCCTGCTTGGCCCGTGGCTGCCAAGACTTTTGGATTCTTGACCGTGTTTCTCATAATATCTTTCCAGTTCTTGTCGACCTGTTGAAATAGTTTGCCTTCTTCGGGCATCTGGGCCATGATGTCCTCCGAAGAGAATATGGGCTCTAGGTACAGCCACTGTGCTTGGACCTGTGGGGAAAGAGTTAAATGAGCGAGAGAGAGAAAGGGTTAAAAGTGAAAAGGAGGATGCATGCTGTACATGTACGTATAGGAATACGTAAGTTGGTAACAGGTTTGAGATAGCTGAGATTGTAGAGACAAAATGTAGGCAGGAGAGGGCTGTAGCTGCGGTCGAAAGGACAAACAAGGTAGTGGGAAAGGAAAGGAGAGAGAAAAAAGACTGGTGACATGCATTTAGACAGAGAGAAAAAAAGGGAAAGGAGGCAGGAAGCACAGACATACAGTAGAGGGGAGTTATGCAAGAGACAAATGTAGGATCAAGAAAAGAGCAGTGAGACGTGATGTATACGTACCTTGAGCCATTCGTCCAGAATGTCCTGCATTCTCAGCAGCCTCTCCTCCCAGGCCTTGATCCGTGTCTCAAACGGCTTGATGAACGGCGAGCCTCTCATTGTCTGCGTCTTTACAATCTGATCGTCCAGTGTCGTCTGTATGTCGTCCACAGCTGTCAGAATTGACACTCCTGCGGTGTGTATGACAATTTTAACTTTTTTTTCTTCTTTTTTTTCATGGCTGAAGTTCTTTTAAGGTTTGCAGTTTTGCGAATGTACGATTCTACAACTTCTTTACGATTTTACTACTTCTTGCCAATCAGTTTTGGCCACCATATTGCGTAGGAACGTAGCCACTATCTATTGGAAACTGAATTTATATATATATACCTACATACGTATGTACCACATGTACCAGTGTCCCTGTACTGAGTGGTGTTGAAGAGGACAACGTCCCAGTCGTCCTCCATTCTCTGCATGGCTTTCTCTAGACTGTACTCCTTACTGGCCGCTGCACTGATGATCTCAAACTTCTCCAGGTACGGCTCAAGGTTGTGTCTGATTAGGGAGTGAGAGAGGGGTTAAATGTGAATGCTACTACTATTTCAAATTGACAAGCAATTCAGCCAGGAGCTACCTTAACCCTAATACCAAAAATATATTGAAATTCCCTCATAAAATGCGAAAGCGAGCGTGTGTGTCCTTCCAAACGTGGTAGTATGTACATAAGGGCCATATTTAGAAATGTTACTAAAGATTGGGCCCAGTGTGAGTTCAATAAAGTTTCACTTTCAGTAACAGTTTATATGATTAGAAGCTGCAATGACAAGTCTCTCAACTGACTTGATCATCTTCCTGAGTGAGGTCCCGGAGTCTGGGGTGATGTTGAAGCCGATCGCTTCGGACATCTTCTCCCAGTGCCTCAGTCTCAGTCCGGGGTTACACAGGATGTGTACCACTGGCAGATAGTCCTGCGGGCACGGTGGACACATTGTTTACTTACATGTTGGACACATTGTTTATATACATGTTGGACATTGTGGGATTCGAACCCACAACACCTTGTACGGACAATTCTTTTCTTTTTTTCTTAGGTGGGATTCGAACCCACGACACCTTGTACTATAGGCGAGCGCTTTACCGTCTGAGCTACCAGGGCAACTCAGCTGGTAGGGGTTCAAATCCTCGACACCATTACAACACAAGACATCCTCAAACCACTGTTCCATGGCACATAACAGTTATATACACTCTTACTCGGCATGTTAGCACTACATATATATACGTATATGACACCAGGCCAGGGTTATATATACGTAAGATGTTTTAGATACCTTGAAAGTCTTGACTTGTTCGTGAGCGGTGCGAGCCATCTTGAGTGGAGGGAAATCGTCTCCCTCCTCAGCCCTCCTGCCTCCCGCCATGGCAGCTGCATCCCTCTTTATCCCTCCCCCCAGCTCCTTCCCCTTCTGTTGCTTCCACTTGGAGAGAAATGTCTTCACTAGTTTGTACATCTCTCTTCCATACTCTTCAACCTGTATATGGGGTGGGGAGGGACAAGGGAAAATATATGGAATAGGGTACAAAAAAGGTGGGGAGAGGGGGGAAATGGGTGCAAGTTCCGACTTAAGCTACGCGCATTGGGTGAAAGACGCAAGGTTCACCTCCGCTTGTGTCTTCTCAGCATTGAGTTCGAGGAACGTTCCATCCATGATCCTCTTCTCGGCCTTCTGCCACTTGAGTATGGTGGAGAACAGCTTCTGGAATGGATCCAGCTGCCCACCTGCATTCAACCATAGCCGGAAACCTTGGTGGAAGAAATCTTTCGCCGCGTTTCAGTAGCAAACATGAATTTCACAAGGAAACCTATTCTCATCTACAAAATTTTGCTGACGACTAAAAAAACCATGGTATATATTTGTGAAATTCTTCCTCATGGATAGTTCCCCGTTATATATACAACTTGTCATCTTGCTAATCAGGACACCATTAAACACTGTCCTGTTAATCAGGGTGTCCTGAAAAACATTGTCCTGCTAATCAGGGCATCCTGATAAGAAATCAGGACGTCCTCAAAACGCTGTCCTGCTAATCAGGAAGTCCTCAAAACGCTGTCCTGTTAATCAGGACGTCCTCAAAACGCTGTCCTGCTAATCAGGACGTCCTCAAAACGCTGTCCTGCTAATCAGGACGTCCTGAAAGGTGTACCGATGGTGTCCAGCTGGGGATAGGTACTCTGACTCCATTTGAAGAGAGTCTCCTCGCGATTGATCTCAGAGATGTGGTCTGACAGCTCTCCGATCCTCTTCTGGATCCTGAGGAGAGAGAGCGAGCTTTCACATCTCTACATGCTACAGAGGGGTTAGAATCTAAAACACAATACAACACAAGGCAAACCTCGAACCACTGTGCTATATATAGCACAGTATACTCTCACTCAATTTTTATGTCTCGTAGCTGTAGCTTTAGTACTGGGGCACCTATGCTGACCTGGTGATCTCTTTGGAGTACTGTGCCATCTGAGAGAAGTCAGAATACTCGGCCAACTCCTCTACACTTCGGTGAACCTAAACGATGGTAAAAGAAGAAGCAATATTAATATACACCTTCTCGACGTAGATATAATGGTCCACCAAATCATAGAGCCTAGCCTTCCTTAACCCACAAACATCTACCACGTAAGCTTGACCACTTACTGATTAAAGGATGATGTAATAAGCTCTCACCTTCTCGATTTCGATGACAACTTTCTCTTGTTTCTCTCTGAGCGTGGCCTCTCCTCTTGTCTTGGATTCTTCCACGATTTTCTCTCCTCTCTCGAAGATGGCGGGGATCTTTGCCGGCCAGGTGAGCACCGTCTGGTTCAGAGAGAGGTCAGACGAAGGGAAGGAGTGGATGTCCAGCAGGTATGACAGTCGCTTCAGAGACAACTGGAAAATTTTGGAGAAATGCTGTGATAACGTATTCCCTAGTTTCCTAACTTTTTCTATTCGGCATGCACAACAGCAGTAAATCAGTTTCAGTACTCGCTCTCCCCTCTCCACCCCACTTAGCGTTTCGCATTTTTTGTACGCACATGAGTAGACGAAATGACAAACCAACCATCTCTAGTACATTGACTATAGTTGGAGAGTGGAATCTCGTTGTACCTATCCTTATCTATCTCTATCTATTTCGTTGTCCCTTCACCCCCTCTTTACCCCTACCAGTAAGGGTTTGAATGGTTTCGCATTTTTTGTATGCACATGAGTGGACGAAATGACAAACCAACCATCTCTAGTTCATTGACTATAGTTGGAGAGTGGAATCTCGTTGTACCCATCCTTATCTATCTCTATCGCATTTTTTGTACGCACATGAGTGAACGAAATGACAAACCAACCATCCCTAGTACATGGACTATAGTTGGAGGGTGGACTATCTCACTAAACCTATTCCTATTCATGTAACAATACTTCAACAAATTTTGCTGTTCACCGAATTAAGAGAAAGAGAAAGTTTCGGAAGTGCTACAAACCTGGACTCCGTCCCACATGTCAGCCAGTATACCGGCTCCGGAGTTCTCCATGTACTGGACCAGTTGAGTCATCTCGCTGGAGTCAGCTGGTGTGTGGGTCACTGTGGTTTCAAACTGTTCGTACTCTCTTATGAGCCTGAGAGAGGGGAGAAGAGAGGGGAAGGATCGTAATATTAGGAGAGAGAGAGAGAGAGGAAAAAAGAAGTAGAAAGGCAGATAGATACACAGTATACGTATCTCTCATGGGATTTACCCGAGTGTAAGTTTCGATATGAAATGGAAACTCAAATCGCAAGAATCCTTTCGAATCTCTGAATGAAAGAACAATTTTCATGAGGTCATTTTCACATGGGCAAGTGTCCGAAGCAGCTTCCTTGAACATATCAAGACCCCTTATTACTAGGCTAACCACCTCTGGCTGTCGGTGACGTGATCAGACGCCAGTTGCTCCACCAACAGTTGCAGCAGGTCCCCAGCTCTCCTCAGCAGCCCAGTCTTGACATCAGAGCAGTCCAGTTGCACCATCGCAAAGAACACAACATCGTCCAGTCCAGAGATATCGGAGATCAGGGAACGGAGTTTCTCGATCTCCGGTTTGAACTCCGCGAGACCGTGCGGAGACGAGAGGAATGCCTCGACGTCCGATTGGTAGGCCCCGGAGACCAGGTTGTCATAGCAACCTAACAACGAAACCATCGTATTTCAACAACATTCAGATCAAATTTGCGAATTGTGTTCATACCATAGCAAGATTCCATGTATTTCATGGGGCCTTGTAGGTTTCTCTGTAGGGCTTCCGAGACCACGCCCCTACAGCAAGCAAGGACCGCCCGATCAACATTGACTGCCAAAGATGGACAGGGACTGGCTCCTTCCAGCCACGCCTGTGGAAATCGGACAACTGGTCATCCAATCCGTGGATGGAGCACCCCAATACGTCTCTACGGAGCATCCAATCCATGGATGGGACACACATACTACTGCCCCATTCCCCAATACATAATATATAGTACAAACCTGAATGAGAGGGAATGACTGGAGAATATCAGAAGCCAGAGTGTTGAGTGGGAACATCACAGCTGCCTCAAGATCTTCCAGAGTCGGGAAGAATTGTATGGCATCTTCGTCGAGGCACAGCTGCAGTTTGAAGACGGGGAGTTGGGTGGTGTCTTCGGGGGAGAAGAGAGACGTGTAGTTCTCCATTGTTGAACTGAGCAGCGAGCGAAGCTGTGAGGAGGAGAGAGATAAAGAGAGAGAGAATGGTCCTCGAGTTATACTGACCTGATTGGCGAGGAGAGTGGAGATGCTGTCATGGAACCCAGCCCCCAATCTCCCTCTGACCATCCTCTGATCTCCCGTGAACAGCTCCAGAACTCGCGAATACCACGACGTCCTCAACTTCTCCTCCGCAGTCTCCAATGTTAGAGACACAATGTTCTTGAACCTCTCTATGTCCAGCGTCCCTCGAGACCTTAAAGGGAACGTCATGGGGGCTAAATTTAGAAATGTTACTAAAGATAGAACTGCACAATAGCAAGAATTCAGGTTTCTGTTTTTTAGTAACAGTTTCTAAATTTATACACTGCCAATAATAATAGAGTTGAATAGGAAAATAGGTGATATAGTGTTCAAAGTGACTGATACATTATACAGTACCTGAGTTCATGAAGGTCAAGTATGGAGGTGAGATGCTGTTCCTGCCACAGATCCAGCAGTCTTCTCATGACGGGGTGGGTGAGATGGAGACGGGCCTCCAGTTCCTCCCGTGCCACCTCATACCTCTCTCTCCAAGTGGTCGAAAAATCCAGTCCACTATGTAGATGGTGAGATATAGATAGAGTGCACGTGACAAAATCAGGGGAAAGACAAATGAAGAGCTTAAATTAGGAGGATTCAGTACTGAGGTACTAAGCATGCATTGGCAGCATAATCTTTACATAATATTAATGTCTGCTGTAGATTTATGATCATTAGTAAAATTCTTACACAGGGTCTGGTTTGACAAGGATTTCCTGCACGGCACCCTTCACGCTGGGCTTTAGAAGTGTCATAGCAACTGCATAAATCGAATTTCACTGAGTTTCGCTTTCAGTTTGGGGCTTACTGTTTGCTTTTCTGATGGTCTCTTCGTAGCGGGACCTCACTTCAGATCGGACGGAGGAGATGAGGGAGGGGGAGAAGGGTTTGGAGATGAGTTTTGGGTCGATTTGGGTGAGAATTTGACTCCACTGCTCCTCTGGCATTGGAGTTATCGGGGCTCTTGCCACACACTGTCTCAGAGCCTCGTAGTTCAGCTGTACGAGGGAGAGAAAAGGAGGAAGAAAGGATTCTTTTAAACTGTGAGTTACAGAGGAAACCTACAAATAAAGGACACCCTGGGACAATGAAAATTCACCCGTGTAAAGTGGTGTCCTTTTCTTATATATAATAGTTAGACGCTGATTCGAGGTAACTACGCACAGTAGAAAGCCGAGAGCCCCGGCATTGTGGCGCCCCGAGCGCAGCGAGGGCGCTACCCCCGGGGCACGAGGCTTTCTACCGACGCGTGGTTACCGAGGAATCAGCGTCTAACTATTTTAGAGTGAGCGCTTCACGTTGAGCGCTCTGGCTTTCCTGTTCGTTCGTATGGCGGAGCGCTTCTAACGATGACTCGATGGAGGCAGGCTCAGAGCGCCAGAAAATGCAGTGCAAGAAGAGCGAAGCGGCAGAGACACGGACGCGCGGTAGCGACTCCTCCGACTTCTTTTTATCGCGACGGTCTGCGCGTGCGCGTGGACGACGCGTCAACGTAGATTCAGTTGTTGATTTTGTTGTTTACATGTACATTTTGTTATGTTTTCTTGTTTTATCTGTAGGTAAAATTACATGGAATGTACATTTTACATGTAAATTCTGTAGGTTTTCTATTTGCTGTAGTTAACCCCCGTCGAGGTTTACTACGGGAAATAGTAAACCTCGGCTTTGCAATCTGATTCTGATTCTGATCATCCTAGCTCACTCTAACATGATTTTAGCTTGTTTTTCTTGTAAATTGGTAATGAATTTCTGTAAAATTTGAGGTGTATACGGTAAAATCAGGAACCTCAATTTTGGGCCAAATCACGGTATAAAGTTTTATATTAGCATTGGATCAAATTTATAGAGAGGTGTCCTTTGTTCAGAGGTATACATGTACATCGAGTATATAGCAAGAACAAAATGTGTGAATGTATAGAAAGAAAGTAGAGGGTGGAAACCATTAGATTTGTAAGAAAAGAGAAGAAAAAAGTAATAATTATGCATACAAAAAGAGGGATAAAGAGAGGGAAGAAAGGAACTGATCGCACTCTTGTCTCTCTGTCTTGGCTCATCATTTCCTCGGGAAGAGCTGGAGCTTTCGGGGACGGAGGTCGATGTCGGTTTAACTGAGCCGTGGACATCAGATTCTGGGCCGCCCTGCTCTCACTGCATGCAACAGTTTAGGTTTCAATTTCAATATGAGGTTATAGACTCACCCTCATTATACCCTTACAAAACTGCTTCGAAATTGGTGCACCAGCGAAGACCGTGCTGTAGCTATAGTTTTCTCTTGAAAAACTTATTCGTGCTTTTTCTAAAACTAAGTGACTACATTGATGCTATAATAATGTGGACGTGTATACAGTACTTCGTGCATGTTTGGTGCACAGATTGATTTTAGAGTGACATACACGATGTTGGAGACCAGAGCCTGTCGCCGTTGGCTGTCTCTGTAGTGCAGCAAAGATCTCCCGCCATATCTGGACGACGTATTCACGGAGAGAGGAGGGAGACGAGGGATGGCGCCCGCAGTACCGCGCCCGCCGCGCCGTCTGTCCGACAGCAGCAGCTAGCGGAACAGCAAAAAAAGAGAAAGAGGGAGAGTTCAATGCAGGATTCTGCAGTGACGTGATGACTAACCCGATCACCGGTCGGAGAGGCCATTGCTCGCGGACTCTCCCACACTCTGACCGAATGAAACCCCTCGAGCGACGCCTAGGCTTTTAGATTTCTTGGACAAATTCACGTTTCTCTTGGCCAAGTAGCTTACAGCTACAGTTAGTTTACCAGATTCACGCGAGCGTTGCTGGGTAACGCTCTAGAGGCCACACCTACTCACGTGATGTGGCGCGGTGCGGAATCTGATATGCACAGAGGGAGGCGTGGCTCGTATATACGCGGAGGTGATTCTCATCGCACCTACCTACCTATCTATATACCTCGTTCTTTAGCTCCGTCACGCGTGACGGATGTGTATATGGATTCGTCACGTGCGTTGCAGAGCTAAAGAAAGCTAGCTGGCAAGACAAGACGGAAGCTAGAGATGGCTAACGTGAAGGCCCTGCTGTTGAACGAGGAAGAAGACTGCGAGAATGGAGGAGGAGGGAGAGAGGAGACAGAGCTCGTCGCCATTAGCAGCGGCATTCGGGACTACTCCGATCGTCTCGTGCTTCTCAAACAACTCAGAGCTCTGGTGAGTCGTAGAAAAAGAGAATGAAATGACACGTCGTGAGCAACTGCGAGAATGAAATTTTTGGTTAGCTCGACACTTGTGTGCAACTGCATAGGCACACGTAGCTATCTACGTAGCTACGTAGGAGGAGTGAAGGGACAGCGAAATACTGGCGAGAAAGGGATTATATGTAAAAAGAAATAGTGTTGCTATTCCACCCTACAACTATTATTCAAGCAATTTATAGTGATGCTTGGTTTGTCATTTCGTTTTCTCACAATAATATGCTTGTGAAAAGTGCAATTACGTAATTCTATCCCAGCAACAATTTCATTCACGAACATCTCACTTATTCCCACAGTTTCTCAAAGACCTGACTCTTCAGTCGAGAGCCATAGCCACCAACGTCTGCCAGCTACTGACTCCCATGATCTTCATCTCCTTTGCTGGTCTCATGCAAATCATCCTCAACATAGTGCTCAAGAAACACCAAACGGTTGTACCCGGGACTGGTGCTGTTCCATTTCCTATGGACATAAGTCGGTCCCTGACCTGCCGCCCCGCAAACAACAGCTACAACAATCCTGACATTGAGGTGTTTAACGCGACAATATTCGGGATAGACAACTACACAATCACCGATTGCCACGACAATTTTCTGAATTTTCTCAGCGACTATGAACACTTGGTTAATTTGGTGACTAAGTCAGAGTATAGAGAAGAATTTGAAATTTTCAATCTCATGACATTAGCTCGTCCTCAGGATTTGCTATTCAACTTACCAATGTTCTACATTGGAAAGTAAGCCTGTATTTAAATTTAGAAGTAAATTGTCCCTTAAGAGTTAAGGTTTACACTTCATTTTTGGGCTAAGTATATATATATTATGTATATATATAATTATACCTCTAAAATTAGAAGCATCGTATGCGTAATTATGTCCTCTAGCCATACCAGAGAGTAGGTAGTATGTCCATTATATAATGTTATGCAACTGTTTTGAAAGTGATGACAGTTTTACTGCTAACTGTTTGTGTTCCCAAAATCCTCATATGGAGGAAAGTGAAAGTAAAATGTTTATCTTACAACCATCACAGGAGTGAAGGTGTAGCTATGGATCTTGGTTATTTAACTTTTGACGGGAACCACTCCGGTTTCATTGGTGACGGCATCATTTGTTTTTGTTTGTGTTTTGTTTACGTTTGTTTTGTTGTTGTGTATCAGGCGGTGCAGTGCCCCAAGAATGGCGTTACAATTTCTCGATGAATTTCAGTGTTGACCATCACTGGCCACTAGAGAGAATCTTTACTGAGGACTATACAGTGAGAGGCTTACTTTCATTTTCATTCTGCCTATCTCTCTCTCTCTCTCTCTCTCTCTTTCTCTCTCTCTCTCTCTCTGTCTCTAGAATGATGAAGGGCCGTACCTAACTGTCCCCTTCTTCCTACCAATATCAGACCTTTCTACCCTCAACCATCGACTGGACAAAGTAAGAAACATCTGTCACATGACCTTGGTGTATTAGTCACGTGACTTCAGTGTGTTGGTCACATGACCTCATTGTCTCTCTCTCTCCAAAATCAGGTGATTAAGAGGTACGGTGACGAGGCGGAGTCATCAGCTGGTTACTATGCCGATTATCAGAGGAACTACATTACGTCGCCTCTCTCTAGTGACCAGTTCCGTACCAACATAAACCTTCTCAAGGAGGCCACTTGCGAGAGCGACACCAGTCTTTTTGAACAGGTCAACTCATAGCCAAAAAAATGATCCAACAAATTTTCGTCAGTGCTTAGTATGGAGATCAAGGCCTTACTTTCCCCATAGAAATATATATTTTTTTGAAATTAGGGTTTTTTCACTGTACTCTCCAGCTATTTTCAAACTATTCAGGATGGTTAGTTGGCCTGTTGTTTCTTCCATTTTTTTTGCTAAAAGTACGGAAAATTTTGCCCACCATTTTGCCCACCCTCTTTTTCGGTTGTGTCACGGAGTTCGATTACTACACAACCACGGTAGTTTATGCTTTTGTGAGTTTTTTCATTAACCCTTTTCTCCCCACAGCTAAGGCCCAGTGGAGCCTTGTTCCTGGATCAGCTAACCACCACAGAGGCATCACTGACTCTCAATTATACCATCGTGGCCAATGACCTGTCACTTGAGTATCCCAACATCATCGGAAGGAAGAAAGACCAAACCCAGTTCACTGAGGCTCTGGACACACATCAGAGGTATATATCACGGTTTAGGACGTCCTGAATCACCGTTGTCCTGACTCTTTTAGGACACCTATTGTTGTGTGAATTTTTTCACTCACGTCATATATTAGCAAAAACTTTTGAAGGGAAATTCTAGCGAATTTTGCCGTTTCAAACTCACCTGAGGTAATTAAATTTTTTTTATGCTGTCACCGTAGGAATAACCTGATCAACATGATGAGCAACGCGGTGTTCAAGAAACCTCACCGGTGCCGCCGGGACTGACCCCGTCGCCATAGCAACGTACGTCATGCCCCTCCCTACTCCGCCCGTGTACCTGACATTGGACATATCCACCATACTGGGTGGAGTTCTGTACCCTTACGCCGCCTCCTTCCTCCTACCTGTAAGCCTCAATATAATAATATGTACTACTACTAGCTGACAAATTTAGTGTGGTAATGCAGTTTCAATTTCACACTTTTATTTGTACTGTAACTTCTCTCTCCCTCTCTCGAAAAATTTAGTAAATTTGGCAGTTGTGAAGCTGTTAATCTGCCAAAATTGACAATCTATCCACGTGTATGCTGTTATGCTTCAAACATTTTGGACCCTGTGCTTTTGCGATGACTACCAAAACATCATATTTTTCACGTCATCATCTCTCCACCCTCTTTCTCTCCTCTCATCAGGTTTACATGGCGATGCTGGTGAAGGACAAGTCAGAGAAGCACCTGATAATGATGGAGCAGAACGGACTCTCCCGATGGACATACTGGGCCGTCACCTACATCTTTAACCTCATGCTCTACGCGGTGATAGCTATCATCATTACAGTGTTCTCACTGGCCTTCAGATACGTCTCTTCACTCAGGTTAGAGTTGAACTGGCTTTCCCCTTTCACTCAGGTTAGAGTTGAACAAGCTTTAGCTGTGTATATATATGACTGAAGGCGTGTAAAGTGAAAATGAACCAGTTTATATATATCACTTACCCATAAGTCCATAAGAATTTATATGGGGTTGTAATACTAGACGCTGATAGTTTATACATCACTTTCTGCTTATTTAAGAAGATCCCCATGGCATCCAATACATGTATACCATAGGTGATAGTTTCAAAATTTAACCCATCTAGTGTTTTATACCTTTGAAGCCTGAAAGAAGAGTAAATTTCACTTATTAAACCATTCCTTGTAAAGAGAAGAAAAGAGAAGAAAAGAACGGTTTGCAAACATATTCTTGGGTGGCAGTTTTCATATTTCACGATAAAGTATGCAACACCTTATTTTTCCCACTACTCAAAGTCTAGTAACTATTTCTCTTTCTTCTCTCCGCAGACGAATGCAGTTGTTCTAATCCTCGTCTTCCTCCTATGGGGCCACGCCCAGATTGCCCTCGGTTTCTTCTTCAGTAACTTCTTCACCAGTCCGCGTGCCGCCATCATCATCGGCTATCTCCTGGTGTTTGCCAGCGTTGCCGTGGCACTACTTCTGGAGCTGTTGAAGGTACGTACCATAATTATATTGTAGCATGAGGCGTAAACTCTTTGTTGGTGCACTCTCCAGCTATAGTCAAGGTATTTGGGATGGTTAGTTGGTCTGTCCTTCCCTCCACTTGCTTTCTAAAAGTACAAACAATTTAGGCCACCCTATTCTTTCACTGCATTCTCCAGCTATAGTCAAGGTATTCGGGATGGTTAGTTGGTCTGTCCTTCCCTCCACTTGCTTGCTAAAAGTACAAACAATTTAGGCCACCATATTCTTTCACTGCACTCTCCAGCTATAGTCAAGGTATTCAGGATGGTTAGTTGGCCTGTCTTCCCTCCACTTGCTTGCTAAAAGTACGAACAATTTAGGCCACCCTGTTTTTTCACTGCACTCTTCAGCTAGAGTTGAAGTATTCGGGATGGTTAGTTGACCTATTATTCCTCTCATATTGTTGCTAAAAGTACGAATAATGTAAGCCGTCCTATTTATGTTTCACTGTTTTCTTACTCCCTCTGTCCATTCTAAATTGTAGATTTTCCCGCCAAACATAACACCGTTTCCAGTTTACATGTTCTACCCTCCTTTTGTCTTCTACAGGTTGGCTACTTGTAAATATTTAGGATTGACAAAATTTTGAAAGTGCCTTATAATTCTTTCTCTGCAGGATTCTGTACTACATGATAAATGCCTGTTTCGGATACTCTTGTTTCTCGGTAACAATTCTAGACCCCACCCAGGGACTCAACCTAGTTACCACGGCGATGTTGTACCTGGGACTGGACACGCTGGTTTTACTGGTGTTGTCGGTGTATCTCTCCTACGTACTACCTGGTGACTATGGCGTCCGAAAATCTCCCTTCTTTCCACTGATAGGTACGATGAGAGATTGATGGGGGGGTGTGGCATACATATGTATGTACGACTATTAAAATCAATGTACATTGAGTTTAATAATGGAAAATAAATTACCGCTATATTATGTATAATGACATTTCTCTTTAATCGTCTATATGTACATATAATAATGCAGCTCTGTACTATTGTATGTATGTATGTACATATAATAATACAGCTCTGTACAAGTGCTGCAAGCATGCAGTCATGAAGATTTCTGGTAAAAAACTGGAACCGGGATCTGACATGACACAGGTAATGGATGTGCATGTAATTCTCAGAGTTATGTTATAATCATTCCATATTTGGCCTGGATACCTCCCCTCAGCCGCAATCTCCAGTCAGGTTGCTAACGACAACCGCCGAGGAATTTGTTGACGAGGACGTCATTGCCGAACGTAAGTCTTCAAAACATTTACATCACACATGTAGTAATGATGTAATCCCTCGTAGATGAGTTGTTGAGTCAGGGGTTTCCCCCCGATGCTCCCGTAGTGATCTACCAGTTGAGGAAGGAGTATCCAGGAAGTGGCGGAGCTCCGCCCCACGTTGCCGTGCACTCCGTGTCCATCGTCATACAGAGGAACGAGTGTTTCGGTCTCTTGGGACCAAATGGTCAGTGGGTGGTTCAGTTTTGGTCTTTTTGCCATTATTATTGTTTGGACCAAATGGTCAGTGGGTGGTTCAGTTTTGGCCTTTTTTTTTGACCAAATGGTCAGTGGGTGGTTCGGTTTTGGTCTTTTTGCCATTATTGTTTGTTTTGACCAAATGGTCAGTGGGTGGTTCGGTTTTGGTCTTTTTGGCACTGTTTGGACCAAATGGTCAGTGGGTGGTTCGTTTTTGGTCTTTTTGGCATTATTATTGTTTGGACCAAATGGTCAGTGGGTGGTTCGGTTTTGGTCTTTTGGCATATTTTGTTTGGACCAAATGGTCAGTGGGTGGTTCAAGTATTGGTCTTTTTGGACCAAGTGGTTAGCCAGTGGTTCTGTTTTGGTCTGTAGTAGATGATGCAGGTATTCGCTCGTAGTTCAGGATTTGTTGTTCGTGTTGGTATTAGTCGGTACCTCTGGTGTTGCTGCAGGTGCGGGGAAGACGACTCTCATCTCAGTGTTGACAGGTATGTATGAACCAACACGAGGGACTGCCAGGATCGCTGGATACGACATACAGACTGAGGTACATACATAATTATGATAATGACAGTGCAGTGCAATAAACTATGAGTGGTGTCTTTTGATATACGTCCTAAAATTTCTTGTACTTTTAGCAAGCAAGTGGGGGGAAGGACAGACCAACTAATCATCCTGAATACCTTTACAATAGCTAGAGAATGCAGTGAAAGAA